CTTTCTAGACTATTCCACGGCCTGACTACTCTATGACTGAAGAAATACTTCCTAACATCCCTTTGATTCATCTGAGTCTTCAACTTCCAATTGTGACCTCTCGTTTCCGTGTCCCCTCTCTGGAACATCCTGTCTTTGTCCACCTTGCCTATTCCGTGTGTGTACTTACCTAGTTGTACTCACCTAGTTGAGGTTGCGGGGGTCGAGTCCGAGCTCCTGGCCCCGCCTCTTCACTGATCGCTACTAGGTCACTCTCCCTGAGCCGTGAGCTTTATCATACCTCTGCTTAAAGCTATGTATGGATCCTGCCTCCACTACATCGCTTCCCAAACTATTCCACTTACTGACTACTCTGTGGCTGAAGAAATACTTCCTAACATCCCTGTGATTCATCTGTGTCTTCAGCTTCCAACTGTGTCCCCTTGTTACTGTGTCCAATCTCTGGAACATCCTGTCTTTGTCCACCTTGTCAATTCCTCTCAGTATTTTGTATGTCGTTATCATGTCCCCCTATCTCTCCTGTCCTCCAGTGTCGTCAGGTTGATTTCCCTTAACCTCTCCTCGTAGGACATACCTCTTAGCTCTGGGACTAGTCTTGTTGCAAACCTTTGCACTTTCTCTAGTTTCTTCACGTGCTTGGCTAGGTGTGGGTTCCAAACTGGTGCCGCATACTCCAATATGGGCCTAACGTACACGGTGTACAGGGTCCTGAATGATTCCTTATTAAGATGTCGGAATGCTGTTCTGAGGTTTGCTAGGTGTGTGTGTGTGTGTGTGTGTGTGTGTGTGTGTGTGTGTGTGTGTGTGTGTGTGTGTGTGTGTGTGTGTGTGTGTGTGTGTGTGTACTCACCTAATAGTACTCACCTAATTGTGGTTGCAGGGGTCGAGACTCAGCTCCTGGCCCCGCCTCTTCACTGATCGCTACTGGATCCTCTCTCTCTGCTTCCTGAGCTTTGTCATACCTCTTCTTAAAACTATGTATGGTTCCTGCCTCCACTACTTCACTTGCTAGGCTATTCCACTTGCTGACAACTCTGTGACTGAAGAAATACTTCCTAACGTCCCTGTGACTCGTCTGAGTCTTCAGCTTCCAGTTGTGACCCCTTGTCCCTGTGTCCCCTCTCTGGAACATCCTATCTCTGTCCACCTTGTCTATTCCCCGCAGTATCTTGTATGTCGTTATCATGTCTCCCCTCAGTGTCGTCAGTCCGATTTCCCTTAACCTTTCCTCGTACGACATTCCCTTGAGCTCTGGGACTAGCCTTGTTGTAAACCTTTGTACTTTCTCTAACTTCTTGACGTGCTTGACCAGGTGTGGGTTCCAGACTGGTGCTGCATACTCCAGTATGGGCCTAACATACACAGTGTACAGTGTCTCGAACGATTCCTTATTAAGGTATCGGAACGCTATTCTCAGGTTTGCCAGGCGCCCGTATGCTGCAGCGGTTATTTGGTTGATGTGTGCCTCCGGTGATGTGCTCGGTGTTATGGTCACCCCAAGGTCTGTCTCCCTGAGTGAGGTCTGTAGTCTTTGTCCACCTAGCCTATACTCTGTCTGCGGTCTTCTTTGCCCCTCCCCAATCTTCATGACTTTGCATTTGGCTGGATTGAATTCGAGAAGCCAGTTGCTGGACCACATGTCCAGCCTGTCCAGGTCTCTTTGCAGTCCTGCCTCATCCTCGTCCGATTTAATTCTTCTCATCAAACTTCACGTCATCTGCGAACAGGGACACTTCAGAGTCTATTCCTTCCATCATGTCGTTCACATATATCAAAAATAGCACTGGTCCTAGAACTGACCCCTGTGGGACCCCGCTCGTAACAGGCGCCCACTGTGATACCTCTTCACGTACCATGACTCGTTGCTGCCTCCCTGTCAGGTATTCCCTTATCCATTGCAGTGCCCTCCCTTTTACGTGCGCCTGATCCTCCAGCTTCTACACTAATCTCTTGTGGGGAACTGTGTCAAAGGCCTTCCTGCAGTCTAGGAAAACGCAATCTACCCACCCCTCTCTCTCGTGTCTTACTTCTGTTACCTTGTCATAAAACTCCAGGAGGTTTGTGATACAAGATTTGCCTTCCATGAACCCATGCTGGTTTTCATTTATAATCTTGTTCCTTTCCAGGTGTTCGACCACTCTCCTCCTGATAATCTTCTCCATGATTTTGCACACAATACATGTCAGAGACACAGGTCTGTAGTTTAGTGCCTCGTTTCTGTTTCCTTTCTTAAATATGGGGACTACATTAGCTGTCTTCCATTTCTCAGGTAGTTGCCCAGTTTCAAGGGATGTGTTGAAGATTGTGGTTAGAGGCACGCACAGCATCTCTGCTCCTTTTCTAAGGACCCATGGGGAGATGTCCGGTCCCATCGCCTTTGAGGTGTCAAGGTCACTTAAGAGCTTCTTCACCTCCTCCTCAGTTGTTCGTATGTCATCCAACACTTGTTGGTATATTCCCTCTTGATGTTCCCTTCTGTGCTGTCTTCCCACAGCCCTTCCTGTCTCCTGTGTGTGTGCGTGTGTGTGTGCGTGTGTGTGTGCTCACCTATTTGTGGTTGCAGGGGTCGAGTCTTAGCTCCTGGCCCCGCCTCTTCACCGGTTGCTACTGGGTCCTCTCTCTCCCCGCTCCATGAGCTTTATCAAACCTCGTCTTAAAACTATGTATGGTTCCTGCCTCCACTACATCACTTTCTAGGCTATTCCACTGCCTGACAACTCTTTGACTGAAGAAATACTTCCTAATATCTCTCTGACTCATCTGTGTCTTCAACTTCCAATTGTGACCTCTTGTTTCTGTATACCCTCCCCTCCCTTCTGTGTGTGTGTGTGTGTGCACGGTTGAAAGTCATGACTATACAAGTCTACATTACTTGGTCACATCGTTCATTTACTGCAGTAACACAACTACAGCAATTTAAATATGCACACACTGTAATAGTTTTACCCATTAAGCTCTACTTTTTTTTTTATTCGCCGGTACTCTCCCGGCCCGGGTCTTTTCCAAGTAGTGGTGACCCGGCCTTGGCTCCCTATCTGGGGAGTGTCTCGAGACGTAAGTCTCCCATGGGAGGAGGTACAAGTACCCCCTCATCTTTGGGACCAACTGTCCTTAGGCCTAGCCACATTCCCCGCCCTCACGGGGCTTGTAGGGAGAAGCTAGGCCTCTGGTCTGCCATCTGCCCCGCCCCAAAGGGGCTCGTGGGGATGGCAGTCTTATGAGCTGCGGATGGTAGCAAGCTCAGGCCTTTTAGCTCTACTTTGTTGTATATTAATATATTTATACAAGTATTTGCAAACCAACCGTTCCCTCTCTCTCTATATATATATATATATATATATATATATATATATATATATATATATATATATATATATATATATATATATATATATATATATATATATATATATATATATATATATATATATATATATGCAATAAGATCACAGTAAACAGGTGATTTCAAAATATGCAAAACAACCACTCTGAAAAAATAGAGAAATTCCAAGCGCTTTCGTGACTACTCACATTATCAAGGAACTATGAAAGTAAAAGCATCCTGGACGGCTGCTGTCTACCAACCTACTACCTACATATATATATATATATATATATATATATATATATATATATATATATATATATATATATATATATATATATATATATATATATATATATATATGTAGGTAGTAGGTTGGTAGACAGCAGCCGTCCAGGGAGGTACTACCGTCCTGCCAAGTGAGTGTAAAACGAAAGCCTGTAATTGTTTTACATGATGGTAGGATTGCTGGTGTCTTTTGTCTGTCTCATAAATATGCAAGATTACAGGTAAGTCTTGCTACTTCTACTTACACTTAGGTCACACTACACATACATGTACAAGCATATATATACACACCCCTCTGAGTTTTCTTCTATTTTCTTTCTAATTCTTGTTCTTGTTTATTTCCTCTTATCTCCATGGGGAAGTGGAACAGAATTCTTCCTCTATAAGCCATGCGTGTCGTAAGAGGCGACTAAAATGCCGGGAGCAAGGGGCTAGACACCCCTTCTCCTGTATATATTACTAAATTTAAAAGGAGAAACTTTAGTTTTTTCTTTTGGGCCACCCCACCTCGGTGGGATACGGCTGGTATGTTGAAAGAAGATATATATATATATATATATATATATATATATATATATATATATATATATATATATATATATATATATATATATATATATATATATATATATATATATATATATATATATATATATATATATATATATATATATATATTATATACATACACGCAAATTGTTTATTATTGATCGCTAGTCTGCAATCTTGAATCTTGGGTCACTCGACATTTAAGAGAACTAGATGATAGCTGAGTAACAAGAAAATCCAATTTTTGAAGCGAATATAATTTTATGCTTAATATGTGTCCATTTATCGTGAGCCAGGCGACCCGTTCACCTGGCTGCCAGGGGAGATACATGCTTCCTCAAACTTTTGGTAAGTAATTAAAAAAAAAAGTCGTATGAACTCTTCCAATTGTTGTGAGTCGTATTCTGGGTAATTTGTTAAGATATTGTAATAACCTCCCGTTTAGCTGGGAGTCGTATCCTGCTCAAAAATATATATTGTGTTAAAAAATCCAGGTATGCTGTGGTGTATCTATTGAGAATTAAAAAGAGTATTTAGTGGAAAATCAGTGATACAGCAACAGAAATCATATAAATTAATGGGGCTAGTGCTAGTCCACTGTATGGGAGTTTTTAGTACACAGCCCCGTAAATCAAAATGTTTATCTCAAGTGAGTATCTTATGCTCGTGAAGGGTTCCTATTTCTAGGGCTTGGAGCTACCTTCCCTTTTTTGGATAAAACCGAATTACCTCCCATTCCACAAGTACTGGATTATCTTTAGTGGTTTGACTCTTCCCCATCAATATAATAGCAGTTACATTAGTAGAATCATCGTACAATTATTTTTTATTGTTACAGACGGTGGTGTAGCGAGAGGTTGGGGAAGAAGCTGTACCCTGCCTACTCACTACACACTCAACACTATGGCCTCGTTATCCGTAAGTTAATGATATACAACTACCCGTCCACCACATTAACATTTTATAACTTCGTGACCTGAAGATGGTCCGAGACTGACCGAAACGTCCTTCGTCTGTTTTTAGCTGCAATTAGTCGGGGAGTTGTGAATTGCTCCGGTTGTAGAAATGTTGCAACGGAAGTGTTTTGCGTGGTGAACACTTCAGTGACTGTAAGCCACAATAAGGAAGCAGAAACAGTTTATAGGAAGTTGGACTACACTTCGGTTCCTCCTGGACCATTATCAAGTCACTGAGAGATATCAGAAGAAGAAAACCGAAAGATAGGTCGTGAAAAGAATGAGAAGACACAGTAAGTGAAGAAATAGTGGCCAATGTTTTATTTTTGTGATAATAAGATACAATCTCAAAAATTGTAAATTCTATATCTCTATGTTGTATTGTGCACATGAGCTGTGCGAAGTAATTTCGATGTATGAAATTACTGTAATATTTGTTGTGATGTAACTATGCCTAGTGGGGTCTGATAAAGACCTCTTGTGATTTCTGTAATTGTTTTCCTTGCGCTACCACTCAGACGATGGACATGGACTGCACAATAAACTAACCGCACAGATAACACAACTAAAAAAAAACTGTAAAGAGAAAGTGAAGGTCAGGGTAAATCAAATGTGTTATAGAGATAAAACATTTGACAATATATTTAGAAAAGCAAGCATCAGCAGAAACATAACCGGAGCTAAGATTCAGGTTAGGAATTTTATATAGGCTACCTTAATATTAAGAGCCAATGGCATCTATGAATGCTGGAAGAGGGATGGTTACCTTTATCAGCGGACCAGTTTATAGCTATGATCTATAATATAACAGAAAACAGAGCTGTTGTTGTCAAAAAGTAAATACTTCAAGTATGTTCTGTCAAAGTCAGCGGCCAGTTCCACCAGTATCTACTCCATTACCTAGACCTCTTACCCTCTTCAGCTCAGTCTACAGACTACCACTGTGTAATGTGTGATGCTTAGCGGACGGAATAACCCACATGGGCTTTGAACTTCATATAAATATAACAACAACAAACTACATTTTCCTTTTATGTACCGATGACATTAACCTTTATCAAGAAAGCTGGCAGATGTTTGTATCTAAGTTGGTCGATGTTCAAGCCTGAGTGAAGATGTTGGTCGCCATATGGAGACCTAATTCGTTGTTCTCAATTGTCAGGTTGTTGAGGGGTTACAGAGTATGGAGATTCTTCATTCATCGAATATTTATTCAGATATACATTACATAGGGTTAATCGTCTCATTAAAGTCTTCATTTGTGTTGGGTTTTCGTAGCTTCTGACATTGTTTTTGGAGAGGGTTGTTATATAGTGGATTTAGGACTTATAAATGGTGGTATTTTTTTCTTTATATTGAAAGCACTTACTATGCCGAAGATGTAGGACTCTTTTTTTGAGGTTGTGCAGCCTTCTGTTATGTTTTAAAATGTATGTAATTCCATTTAGATATTGTCGTTTAAATTAGCATTTACAGCAGATGAGAGGACTATATTCTGCCACTTCTCACATTTTTGTGTCAGCTTTAGTTGTGAGTGCTTATGGAATTTATGGGTACTCTATTTAGAGGTCACGTTATATTCTTATTTGATATATACTGATATGCGGTAGGACTGCTCTGACATAGCCTGACATGGTGCTCGTAAAAAACGCATTCTCAGGCCAGCAGTAAATGGATCCTCGCCTCATGAACGCCACCATATGCTACTGTACCACCTGTTGCATGGCACTAAATTTCTGCAGTGGCCTTGGACGTTTGTGTGGACGTTTTGCACTGCTTTGATGACAAATCTCATTCCCCCCATTCATTCTTGAATGCTTGTCCTTATCTACTTGTCCGTTGTGCATATCAGTGGTCGGGAGTCACTATGCATCAGCTCCTTTGTCTCTTAATATTCTACGGCAGTTGGCCCCTCAGGAGAGGTGCTTTAATACCAGCGAAAGGCTCTTGATACCTCCTCTTTCCGTAATCGAACCTAAGGCAGCTCGTGGCTCCAGTGATAACGCCTTCGGCTAATCTGGAGGATCTGTGTTCGTTCCCGGCATTTTTCTTTACACTTGTTGCCTCAGTTTCGCAGCCAGGATTTCATTTTGGGGGAGGCTTAAGCTAGGATATCAGTGGGGGGGGGGTCATGAGATGCCAAAAAAAGTAAAAGAAACAGCCTTTAAAAATACATAATTATCAGTTTAAGCTATCATACTTTTGTAGTCAGTGGTTAATACATTAGTGAAAATTAGCCACTATGGGAAAAATAAAAGTATATTCCCCTAGGGGGATTTATCACCCTTAGCCTCTGTTCCCCATGGATGTATCAGACTTAGTAGATACCTGGGTGTTAGCCGATTTTTGTGGGTGGTATCCTAGGAAAAAGGATCAAAGGACCCAATGGAAATAAACTAAATATGGTAACTTGATGGGGGTTACCTTGAGTTAATTCGAATTTGAATAAAATCTGCCTACCTTTTACCCAGGGGCTGTATGACCCCAACGGGTTTAGTATTTCCTTCTTCAGGATAGGTGTAGTTTGCTTAGAGGTTTCTCCTTCTCCAGATGACTGCACAAGTAATGATTTGTAATTGTGTTGTTTCAGGAATGTTTGTTGACGCTGTATTTACTGGCGGGAATCAACTTTCTAATGCTTCCTCATAACACTGAAACAATCTACGGTTATTGGATGAGGCCGGTCACTGACTAAGGGGTACGGGTTTCCCATTTTCCCGAGGTTAGGAAATATAAGTTTATTCAGATAAAGATACACATAAATTCAATTACATTTACATAAATTATCATACATAGCAGCATGTGTGTAGATTTCCTAGGATAACTCAAAAAAGGTAAAGTGACTTATTTCCATTGGGATCCTTGAGTGGGAAAGTTATTTCACATTTTGCATCGACTAAATTAATGAATTGTTATAGAGGATATTTCAACTCATGTTTTTAGTGGTGCTAAGATATAAGTTTACTGAGAGTGTATTCCATACTGTATTGTGTACATCTGAATAAGTTATATTCTAGGATCCATATTTCATTGTCAAAGTGATCCTTTGTGTGGGTCTCTGTGAAAGCCACAAACATTGTATTTGACTCTGTGAGGAGTCCACTGATGAAAGGTATTTTCTTATTAGTTGATGGCTTTAGATCAAGGGCCTTGCCTTGTCATTACATGAGAGTTTGTTCAACTCTTCTTCAACTTGTGTCAAACTGGTACTTGCTATATCCTTTCTAAAGCCAAATTTGTCCAACTTGAATCCATTGCTGTGACTTCTGTCTTGGTTAGATATTTTCAACACTATTTATATCCTCTATTTCTGTTCTTCATTTGTGCACTTTAGTCAGCTCCATTCCCCCTAATTCTACCTTCATCCTAGAAAAGAATTCTGATATATGGACTCAAATAAGTCATAACTCTGTATATTTTCCAGTGGATTATGTCCATTAGGTAATGTGGAGACCAGAACTGAGCAGCATAATCTAAATAAATACTTATCAAGAATACATGAAACTGAGATGTATCCTTAAGATTAATGTTATTTATTCTTCTTTACATGAAGCCAAAAAAAAATATATGAAAGAAAGAATTCTATTAGTTTTATTGTGAACACTTATGCATTAATGTCTTGGCTTTAAATTTCTGCAAGCCAAAACTAAATGTTTACCACATTCACTTTTATTAAGATTATATTATGTAGTGGTTTAACGCTTTCTTTATAAGTAATATTATGTAGCTTATAAGTGCCATAGTTATTTTCTTTTCCTAGGATTAGAACCTAAGATCAGAACCCACGTTGATAACATGTGGGGTTCCTCAAGGTAGTATCCTGGGCCCTTTGCTATTCCTGTGCTATGTGAATGATATGCTTATCAGTGTCAAGCTTTTACTGTACACAGATGATAGTACACAAGAAAGAAGGAACACTGCAGCAAGGCCACCGGCTCAAGCCAATGCCCCAACCCAGTCAGGGCAGGTCACACTCACGCAAGGAAGGAACACGACAACTGACCTAGTAGCATAAGTTAATCAGGTTCAACTCACACCCACCCACACCCACTCATGTATTTATCTAACCTATTTTTAAAACTGCACAACGTTTTAGCCTCAATAACTGTACTTGGGAGTTTGTTCCACTCATCAGGTAAAGACCCACAAGACATTGCTAATGTACTGTCATTTAAACTATAGTTCTGTAACAAATGGTTGGTAGACAACAAACTATCACTGCTCCTCGGGAAAACGGTGTAATGGGGAACCTATTATTACAGTAAATTTAGTGAAATATGTGGGAATTCCGTTTGACCCAAGCATGCCAGAACTAATAGGGAACAATGTAAAGAAAGTGGCCTTCAAGGAAGGTTCCTTGACGCTGCTGAAGGGCTCTTGATCTAGGGAATTGGATCTGTGCTCAGGTTCCCTGAATTAAGCCTGAATGTCTTCCATATATCCCCCCAAGGCGCTACATAATCCTACGGGTTTAGCGCCCCCCCTCGATTATAATAATGTTAAGAAAGTGAATGCCAGACTAAAGTTCCTCTACAGACAAGCACAGTGTCTACCAACTGAGGCTCGCAGGACCCTATGTCTAGCTCTTATACAATGTATTATAGACTACTCTGGCTCTTCATGGTACTCTGCCTTAACAAAAAAAACTAAGAGATGGGCTGCAAATCAACCACAACAAAATGGTGAGATTCATTTTGGACCTGAGTCCAAGAGACCATGTAGACCAGGATGAATTACTACAACTGGATATGTTGAAGACAGTAAATCAACTAAAGCTAAATTACGTTTATATTATTATTATTATAATCAAGGGGGAAGCGCTAAACCTGTAGGATTATACAGCGCCTGGGGGGGGGATGTGGAAGGTATGCAGGTTTAATTCTGGGAACTGGAGCACAGATCCAATTCCCTAAATCAAGAGCCCCTCGCCAACATCAAGGAACCTTCCCTGAGGGGTTTACGTTTATAAAATTGCTCACAACCAGTGTACCCAGTATCTTACTGCCAATTTTGTTATGGCCAGGAACCAATGCAATTACAGAACTAGTGGAAGGGAGAACAACTTTGCAGTACCTGGAGTCAGTGGTCAGGCTTCAAAGACATTTTTCTATTCAGCAATCCCCTCAAGGAAGGTTCCTTGATGCTGGTGAGGGGCTCTTGATCTAGGGAATTGGATCTGTTCTTCAGTTCCCTGAATTAAACCTGCATACCTTCCACATCCCCCCCTCAGGCACTGTATAATCCTACGTGTTTAGCGCTTCCCCTTGATTATAATAATAATAATAATCTATTCAGCAATAAAAGAGTGGAATAGACTGTCTGCACATGTCAAATTCAGTCATAGCATGAGCCAGTTCAAGAAGAGAGCCAAAATGTACCTCATGAATAAGGCTACAGAAAGGGAGGAGTGAGTTCTTGTATGAAAATAACTAATTTTATCTCTCCCCTAGTACATCTTTTATTGTAACTGCTTTTACAAAATTAAGACTTACCTGTTTATAACTTTTAAATAGTATAAATAATAATTATCACAAGGAACCCAATGGAAATAAGTCACTCTGTGTGACTTTTTTGGAGTTATCCTAGGTTCCTACACATATGCTGCTATGTATAATAACCAGTGTAACTATGTATACTTGAATAAACTTACTTACCCATGTCTGCATTGAACTGCAGCTTGCATACCTCTGACCACATCAACATAAACCTACCCAGGTCATTCTGTAGCTTTCTAAAGTGAGATAAGATAAGATAAGATTTCGTTCGGATTTTTAACCCCGGAGGGTTAGCCACCCAGGATAACCCAAGAAAGTCAGTGCGTCATCGAGGACTGTCTAACTTATTTCCATTGGGGTCCTTAATCTTGTCCCCCAGGATGCGACCCACACCAGTCGACTAACACCCAGGTACCTATTTGCTGCTAGGTGAACAGGACAACAGGTGTAAGGAAACGTGTCGAAATGTTTCCACCCGCCGGGAATCGAACCCGGGCCCTCCGTGTGTGAAGCGGGAGCTTTAGCCACCAGGCCACCGGGCCTCATCAGAAATTATTTGATGGCTTATTTCAGTGTCATCGGCAAATTTACTTATGTCACGAAGAACAAAGAGGCACAATACCGTGACTGGAACATTACACAGATAACCTGCACATAGGAGAGAGAAGCTTATGATGACATTTCAGTCCAACTTGGACCATTTACAAGTCACATTAACACAAAGATATTATAAGCATCATCATAAGCCTCTCTCTCCTATGTGTGGGTTATTTGTGTATTACTGTACTTGTTATAATTTAAAGAAACAAACAAAAACAAATGAAGAACTTTGTTTCTATAAAGTCAAATACAATATACAGTTGACATTGGGTTAAGTGACATGAATAAGCTACTTTTTTTGAAAGCCCTTGATATGTAAAGCATTTCGGATAGTATATACCTGGAGGGGATTTCAGGGGCCAACACGGCCCGGTCTGTGACCAGGCCTCACGGTGGATCAGGGCCTGATCAGGCAGGTTGTTACTACTTTTCATAATCGGACTAATAGGAGGGAAGAGAGTGTGCGATGTTGCCAATTGTCCACAGCTCCCAAATCATGAGTTTATTTCATGTCGTTTGTAGTAGTGGACTTGATCCGCTGATGCAAAAGACAATGAAACACTAAGAATATGGAGTTTTAACCTGTAATATATTATTATAATATATAATTATTATATACCTCCATGGGGAAGTGGAACAGAATTCTTCCTCCGTAAGCCATGCGTGTTGTAAGAGGCGACTAAAATGCCGGGAGCAAGGGTCTAGTAACCTCTTCTCCTGTATATATTACTAAATGCAAAAGGAGAAACTTTCGTTTTTCCTTTTGGGCCACCCCGCCTCGGTGGGATACAGCCGGTGTGTTGAAAGAAAGAAAGAATTATTATATAGTACTGTACTATAAAGTAATTTTATGGTACTTCATGTAGTTTACAGTATAATTTTATTCACCATTTTGTGGTGGAGAGCTGAGGTGTAAACTGCTCTGATTATGGGCAATTTTTCTATGCTTTATAGAAGATAAGATAAGATAAGATTTCGTTCGGATCTTTAACCCCGGAGGGTTAGCCACCCAGGATAACCCAAGAAAGTCAGTGCGTCATCGAGGACTGTCTAACTTATTTCCATTGGGGTCCTTAATCTTGTCCCCCAGGATGCGACCCACACCAGTCGACTAACACCCAGGTACCTATTTGCTGCTAGGTGAACAGGACAACAGGTGTAAGGAAACGTGTCGAATGTTTCCACCCGCCGGGAATCGAACCCGGGCCCTCCGTGTGTGAAGCGGGAGCTTTAGCCACCAGGCCACCTTAATTTAAGGATGTAAATATATCCTTGCTTCTACAGATATCAGACACTGTTTCTGAACACCATATTCCTCACATAACTGTGCCACTGAGATGCCAGGCTTAATCTTCTTTATTAGTTCAAGTTTCTCCTTAACACTGAGAAATACACATTTTCTCTTCGCCCCACCACTTGCTTTAGAAACCGTTGTTAATTGCATTTAATATGTTAATAAAGTCATACAAAATGTTCTAAATCCAGGGAAAATTAGACACTGAATGACAAGTGTATGTATGAGTGAGCACAAACAATAAACTGGTGTGGGTGGCCTGTGGCTCAGGAAACAATGAAATGGACAGGCCCTGAAAGTGGTCACCTGTCCTGTACTGAACAAATATCAGAGTTAGCGGATTTGTCCTGATACTTCAGAATTCAACTGGACACTATCGCTATGGATAAAATGCAAAATTATGGACTTTTGTCCATTTTTTCTAATAATTATCTTGGTAATTATTTTTGTCTGAAATTGCTGAAATGTGTTAATGAGAGGTTCATTGATGAGAAGTTTTGCCAAACTATATGAAATTATTTTACTGTGATATTAAAGAAAATACTAGTGTGTGTGGTATTATATTGTGTTTATTTTTTTATCAACAGAATGTTATCGTGCTGTCATTGCTGTTGGTAGTGGTGGGAACGAGGGCAGAAGTGAGAAATGGGACAGAGGCATCATCTGAAAAATCCATTACTGAGGTGCATGATGTCACTGAGTACAACAATGAGACGGTCTTGTCACCTGCTGAAGAGCTGTTACAAGCTGCAAGGGCTGCAGGTGGGAGCAGTGTAACCTAACACATGGATGCCTACACAAAAATTCATTCACAGTCTGATATATAAGTACATATACTGTATCTAGCAATAATGTCAGATGATGAATGCAACTGTCTTGATAATATAACTAATGGACACATTTATTTTTAATCTTTGTCCATATCTTCAGATATGCACAGTTCAGCATGTATGGTGAGTGAGTTTATTTAGATACAGGTACACATAAGTACAATTACCATACTATATAGTTTAACATCTGCGTAAATTACCTGGGATAACCCCAAAAATTTACATCCACCAACCTACTAAGTTCAATTATTAAAGTAACCAAAATTGCTATTTTAGTTTAGATTGCAATCTCTTCATATCAGCATGTATTAAAATTAGCATTCAAGCAATCTTAACCTTAGTTCTGCATTTTAAAGTAGTTTTAAGTCCTGGTTATTTGGAATAATCTTAGAGTACCTGAAATACTCAGCATTATCAGTAACTTTAAGGTAGGCTTATAATCCAAGTAGTACAGTGTAGTGCAGGTTGGCCATCACTAATCCAGCATCGTAGGGAAATGTAATGTGCCAGATTAGTGAGTTTGCCAGATTACAGAGTGGTTAGGTTAGAATACACTTAATTAATCTATCAGTAGAGACTTTCTGCTACATCTTCCTCATTTTCATCACTGCTTTCTCCTCCACTGGCTTGCTGCTGTGGATTTATAACCATCTGCACAATTTCTGAGTCAGTATAATGATGAAATTTGAGTCAGTATAATGATGAAATTTGAAATTATGCTAGCCAAAATTAGTGCCGGATTACTGATGAAACCAGATAACTGATTGCCAGATTAACGATGGCTGACCTGTACAGTATTCATGCTGAGCAACGTTTGAGCGTTTCATAGGCAATTAAAGACATTTCTGCAAGTTTAAATAAATTTTGGCTTCTTGGTAACCAGTGATTTTTTTGTTACTAATGAGAATTTATAACCTGGAGCAAGCATTGTAGAGAGTTTCTTTCCACAGGTTATGATTTGACCCTGCAGCGCTTAGACATAGCTGCTGCCTCTACAGATGAGGAAGTGGAGGAAATGATGCCACAACCTGTGGCTGAGGCCTTCATTGCTCAGCGCCGAAGAGACAATGTTGACCTTATCCGAGAACAGATGATTGGCATGATATTCACGGGAAGGCCTCAGCCACTTGTGAGTTCTAATAGTATACAGGAGGGCCCCGCTTATAAAGCAGGTTAGGTTTTGGGCTACCACTATACAGCGAAAATCACTGTAAAGTGATTTTAATAGATGATAGTATAAAGATAACATCTTTATACGTACTATCATCTATTAAGTGAGCAGTAGAGTTAAGCCTAAAAAGATGCATATACAGTACAGTACATGCAATACTTACCTTAAAATATTTTTGTATTTAGCTTTTATAATGAATGGTGAATATATATTTATTGTAGGTAACCTAAATAAATGAAGAATGGGTATAATTGAAAATGGCTGTATTACCAAAGTGCTCTAAAGTGAAGCACTGTAAAGTGGGGTCCTCCTGTACACCAGTATACTATATACAGTACAATATTTTGCTGCTATACCAGGTGCAGTTCTTACAATGAGAATTTTGTGCACAATTAATGTTCATTTCATGGCTAATATTTTTTGGGTCACCCTGCCTCGGTGGGAGACGACCGACTTGTTGAAAAAAAAACAAAAAAAAACTGGAAAATCAAGACAACTTCATGATATTTTTATTTTTGGCAGGGTTCTGTACCTCGTCGGCCTTTGGCATGGGCTCGGCCCGCCAGCTTCAGGTCGAGTCCATCAGGGATGGTTCATGTGAGTGTTAGAGCTGGGAATGTTGGCATGATGTAGGTGGAAGTCTAACTAGACTATTATCCAGCATCTGTGTTCAGCAATATTGGCCTCATTACTTTAGTATCTGTACCAGCTACTCTGTCACTCTATTGAATTGAGTTCCTGGTAGTGATGCAACTCATCGCACTACTGATAGTTGTGGTATGGGGATTCTAATGTAGTATGCAGTATTAAATAATGTATGTATTTTTTAGCAATCAGTACTTATTTCCTGCAGTTGTATTAATGGCACTTGTTTATCCAAGAGGTCTAATTGTAAGCTTTTGTTAACTACATAATGAAATGGCATTAATTTACAGTTTTATTTTTACTAGATTGCAACTCATTAATACATTCTGGATAAGATGAGCTTGGGCACGACCTCCCTGTTTATGGACATTTAAGTTGTTCAGAGAGTTGATACACCTTGCAGAGCTGAACTGCCTTGCTTTGGAGTGATTTCACTAACATAATAGAATTTTGTATTCATCAAATTTATTTTTCTTTTGACTACTTCTTTTACAGGCAGAAATATGGAATGGATACAGGTTCCTTGATCAGCATGATACTCATGTATCTCATCCTGGAATCACTGGAAGCTAGGATATTTGCTGACATATTCAACATGGATTCTTTGCTACAATGTCAATAACATTAATACTTACTTTTATATAGTTTGATGGAATAATGATCAAGAGAAAATCTACCGACAGATATACTGAGTCACTTGTAACCGCACCATAACAGAAAAAACAAACGTGATATTCTTATAGGTTTCTTTCTTAGGAGGCAGACACAAAATTTCCAACAAACAGTTTCTTGAAGAATTCCAGTAATTGTCACAAAAATACACTGGAACCTCAGTACTCGAACTTAATTTGTTCCAGAAGGCTGTTCGAGTACCGAATTTTTCCCATAAGGAATAATGTAAATTTGATTAATCCATTTCAGACCCCAAAAATACACTGACAGTGGCTTTGTGGTGTACTTTCGTTTGGTATTTATGATTGTATTCTTGTTTTCTTGGTCTCATTTGATAGAATGAAAGATACAGTATTACAGAAATAGAGATGATTTTGAATGGTTTACAGAATAAAAGTACCTTGAAATTGAGCTCAAAGTAGTGGAAATGTTTGATTTTTGCTGATGTTCAAGAGTAAGCAAATCAAGTCAGTCATCCAATACACGGCAACTGGTGGCTCTAATGTGCTTTTATAAATGCACTGATATTATTTATACCATTTTTTCAGTAATGCAGTAGTCTCTATAACAGTAAATCTTCTATTTTTTTGTGTGAATAAATATTCAAAATGGACAGCAAGCATAATATAAGAGGGGCCCAAAACAGGAGGAGCTATTGGAGAGAGAAGGAGGGGCCAGCAGAAGGAGCGTTCAGTATCTTATGAGTTGTCTTGATAGCCTGATACTAGTGGTGGTGCGAATATTATGTTGTGTAATTACGCTAATATTAGTAATAAAGGTTATCTATCACATTTATTCAATAGAAACACAATAGAAAACCTAGAAGCACAATAAAGATACTGAAATTAATTAAAGGCATATTATATGAAGAGGCAGAAGTGATGTTTACATCAGGGTAAACACACACTAACTAATTTTTCTTTTGGTTGACTGTTATCACTAAGCTTCTTGGGCCCTATGGTGACTTATTTATACAAATAATAGAAAAAACACTCAGAAATGGGAAATAGTTTACAGTGAAGTTCAGTGGAGTTTAGGACTGAGCGACAACTGTGGCGATATTGATGCACATGTTCTGGTAGGTCGTGTTGTTTGGTCGAGTGCTGAGCAAACGGTCAACTACCAAGCGATTTTTTACTGAACAAAGCATTCGTGTACCAAATTGTTCAAGTACGGAGCTGTTCGAGTACCGAGGTTCCACTGTATTCACCAAAAAGTGCTCACCCGACATTTCATCAAGAGACACAGAAAAGGGTGGCACAAATTCTTAAGAACACCAATGTACTCATTAGATCTGACATTTACCAGTTACAGAAATAAATATGTCAGACACTGTATTCACAGTTCATTGTAAGGGATACAAAATTTGAGAGTGAAACCTCGCAAGTTATTGATATTAGGATTCAGAAACATACATATTCCTGTATCAATAATATATGTAATCCAGTGACAGCTTAGTCCTAAAAGAGGAAGAAAATACTTAGTGGCAGTTTTAATTGGAGTTTTAACACTATAAAGTAGAACTGTATTTATTTGTTGCTATCTATATGTATTTGTCTATATTCTCTTTGAGACTTCATTTTTTCTAGTGTTTTATGATTAAATTCTTTTTTAGTACAGTGGTACCTCGAGTTACGAACTTAATTCATTCCAGAAGGCTGTTTGAGTGCTGATACCAAACGAATTTGTTCCCGCAAGGAATAATGTAAATTAGATTAGTCCATTTCAGACCCCCAAAAATACACTTATAAAAGCACTTACAAAAATACACTTACATAATTGTTTAAATTGGGAGCTGTTCGAAACTCAGGGTACCGCTGTATCTCCATAGTATATTATCTTTATATCAATTCTTTCAGTATTACTGGCCTAGTGGTAAATTCCTGAAATTTCTCAAGCTTTCTCAGGTGCATAAACACAATTGGGATTACACATTTGTACTGCATTCTCCATATTGGTTTCACATACATGTATATTATCCTGACATAAAACCTTCTTGAGATTCCTGAAGGCTATTAGTTTTGTTTTTGGCAAGTCATATACAGCTGATGCCATCTTGTGTGTAAGCTGGTAAAGGTTCAATGTTATCTCCATCTCCATTGGCCATTTTTCTTTTTCTTTGGATATTACAAAATGGGATGCTACTGTTCTTTCTCCACTCATTTTCATCAACTTTCATTAATTTAGGCTGAATCTGACATCACATATACAACAGTGTGTGAATACAATCAATAAAAGCATACACCAGTTCATGTATACAACACTGCCATTTGCCAGTGCAGTGAGTTATTGCTATTATTTACTTGCAGATGCAGTATAATCCTCAAGGTGAGGCCAGCATCCAGAGCACTAGAAGTAGGTTGATGGTGAGGCTAGTATTAGTATAGCTTTTACAGTCAGTGAAGCAGTACAAGGTACGTGGCGTAACAGTGGCTTGGGGCATCTGTAGAACACTACCATGCTTACTCATGACCGATAGAACTTTTTTTTTTTTTTTGTAATGTTATCAAGACTACCGGCCACCCTTCATAGAAATGGACTGGCTGAATATGGCAGGATGGTGTATGGATACTTAATTTAGAGGAACACAGAACATGTGTATAGGCATAGTATTAATACATATTGAATGAGAAATTTCATATAGTAGATAAGGAAAGAGGTTTGTTTTAAGAAATTTAAGTCCTTTAGCATACAGGAAAAGGTGGATACTGCTGTACCATGTAGACCTTGTTCTCTTTGAGCTAGTAAACCACATCTGTGATGGAAGTTAAAATAAGGAATATTTTGAGTCATGACAATGTTTCTTTGCTGTATAATTTTTCATCACTGTTATACACACCACATCAAAACTTCAGCTTTCCATGCAGAAATCTGAGTGCATACATGCGCACATTCACAACACACATATGTACATGCTGAGTGTTCCTTGTCTCTGTCATGCGGTGGAAACATTTTTGCCCAGAAAGGCTTAAAAAATTATTACTGTAATGCCCAGATGTTCTCATGGCTGAATTTGTAATTGCCTCAGCTTGCAACCAAGGGTCCAGGATTTGTTCCAGGACGAGTGGAAAGGTAGGGCATGTTTCCTTATACCTGCTGCTCCTGTTCATCTAGCAGTAAGTAGGTACCTGGGTTTCAGCTAACTTTTGATCTCATTTGTTAAATAAGGCAGTCAGATGACAATGGTTTTATTGGATTATCCTGGGTTACTAACCTTCCAGGTTAATAATCTGAATCGAATCTTTTTATACCTTGCATATTTGGGAACGCCTTGGGAAATTAATACTACGACAAGGTCCTAAATGCACTAGAAGACAAAAAGAATGCAGATGTAATATATACAGACTTTGCAAAAGCCTTCGACAAGTGTGACCATGGCGTAATAGCGCACAAAATGCGCGCTAAAGGAATAACAGGAAAAGTTGGTCGATGGATCTATAATTTCCTCACTAACAGAACACAGAGAGTAGTCGTCAACAGAGTAAAGTCCGAGGCAGCTACGGTGAAAAGCTCTGTTCCACAAGGCACAGTACTAGCTCCCATCTTGTTCCTCATCCTCATATCCGACATAGACAAGGATGTCAGCCACAGCACCGTGACTTCCTTTGCAGATGACACCCGAATCTGCATGACAGTGTCTTCCATTGCAGACACTGCAAGGCTCCAGGCGGACATCAACCAAATCTTTCAGTGGGCTGCAGAAAACAATATGAAGTTCAACGATGAGAAATTTCAATTACTCAGATATGGTAAACATGAGGAAATTAAATCTTCATCAGAGTACAAAACAAATTCTGGCCACAAAATAGAGCGAAACACCAACGTCAAAGACCTGGGAGTGATTATGTCGGAGGATCTCACCTTCAAGGACCATAACATTGTATCAATCGCATCTGCTAGAAAAATGACAGGATGGATAATGAGAACCTTCAAAACTAGGGAGGCCAAGCCCATGATGACACTCTTCAGGTCACTTGTTCTATCTAGGCTGGAATATTGCTGCACTCTAACAGCACCTTTCAAGGCAGGTGAAATTGCCGACCTAGAAAATGTACAGAGAACTTTCACGGCGCGCATAACGGAGATAAAACACCTCAATTACTGGGAGCGCTTGAGGTTTCTAAACCTGTATTCCCTGGAACGCAGGAGGGAGAGATACATGATTATATACACCTGGAAAATCCTAGAGGGACTAGTACCGAACTTGCACACGAAAATCACTCACTACGAAAGCAAAAGACTTGGCAGACGATGCACCATCCCCCCAATGAAAAGCAGGGGTGTCACTAGCACGTTAAGAGACCATACAATAAGTGTCAGGGGACCGAGACTGTTCAACTGCCTCCCAGCACACATAAGGGGGATTACCAACAGACCCCTGGCAGTCTTCAAGCTGGCACTGGACAAGCACCTAAAGGCAGTTCCTGATCAGCCGGGCTGTGGCTCGTACGTTGGTTTGCGTGCAGCCAGCAGCAACAGCCTGGTTGATCAGGCGCTGATCCACCAGGAGGCCTGGTCACAGACCGGGCCGCGGGGGCGTTGACCCCCGAAACTCTCTCCAGGTAAACTCCAGGTAAACAGTGCTGCTGCTGGAAAGTATTATTGCATTGATGCAAACCACAAGAGCCAGTAGGAGCACTTTACTTAATTTAGTATGTTAATAAAGTCACAGGAAATGATGTAAATCCAGGAAAAATTGGAGACTGAATGATGAGTGTATGCATGAATGAGCACAGACCAACTGACATGGGCAGCATAAGGCTCAAGGAACAATGAAAGGAAACAGGTCCTGGACTTGGATACTTTTGCTCATGCCCGACAAACATCAAACTCATTCGACTTGATTTGTGGATTTAGAAGACTAACAGACAGTGTCACTATGGACAAAATCTGGACTCTACAGACTTTTTTCATTTTGTTCCATGATTCCAACTTTTGTCCAGCCAATTTTTTTTTTTTGACTGAATTTTCCTGGTGTGATTTTTCATCAGTAGACCTACTGGTACAAGGTTTAGGTATATTATATCAGTACCGAGAGATTGCCAGCAGTCAAGACTAGAGTTTGTGTGTATAGTATTTCTTGTTGATGGGGAGGGGAAGAAAGGTGTATTAAGTATACAAGTATACATAGGTGATATAACTATAATCCTGGACTACTGAATTAAAGTAACACAAATATGAGTGTGGCCATGACATCCAAAACAACAAATATTTGATATATCATAGAAGACATGGGCTTCTCAAGAAATTGAAGGAAGCTAGTCTGTTACTAATAAAGGTTTGGAAGCTTAATTATGGTCTCTCATTCATGTAGGAAATGTTGAAGATTTTTGTATATATACTTTACTGGTAATAATTTTGTTTAACCAGTATTGGCTTATAGTTACTGTAAATTGTTGAAAACATATTAGATATGTCCTCCCATTTCAGTAGTTATATGTATGTCATGGGGGAAGAAAAAACTTGTGTTCATCATTATAAAAGTAAGATAAATGACAGCATTTTTGTAACAGCAGGTATGAGTCTCATATAGTACAATGCCAGGTAATGTATAACCATTTACTGGTCAGCATACAGTAATTTTTTTTTTGCCATTTTAAGATTTATAACTTAGTTTAACTCATAATTAACACCAGTGAAATAGTTATATGAGCAGTGATGCTAATATATAAGGTGACATAATTGCCTGTATTTGTGCATCTTCCTTTCTTCAGTCTCCAGAAGATCATTTAATCATGAACAGATACTATATAACTGACTTCTGTGGGTTGAGCATGTTTTAATTAATAATTTATAATAACATGAGTAAGCATGGGAGAGGACATAATAACAGGGTAAACTGCTTTGAGGGCGCTGCTGTCTTACGGTAAGGAGTGCTTGCTCTTCTCAGCTTAGTAATGCTGTTGACTGATGTTTCTATATATTCTAAGCCCCATAATGACTCCTAACAAATTGAAAATTCTTACTCTGTTGTAAATACCACTTGTATATATATAACCTTTCAGAATACAAATGGAGAACATATCTGGACATTCTGGGTACTTCCTCATACCTGTAATAATCTTACTCCTGTCTTGATGGCTTCTCCATATTAGGAAACAATAATTCACAGCAGAATATTTTCTTTCTGCAGTTAATCGTCCAGTCAGGACCATATGTATTTTCCTTATCAGTCGTTTGATGGCCCCTAATTTTATCCTTTTGAATAATATTCTGGTTCTAAATAGGTATAATTTGGCTTTCAATTCTTCTTGTCAAATTACTACTTGGCTAAAGTAAAAATTGTAAAATTTATGTAGGGACACTGTAGAGACTTGGAAGGCTGATTTTGTGTATGTTAATTATAGTACAGTACTGTAGTTGACACCTTGTGTTGACCCCCAGAACACCCCCCAGGTATACTCTGCTTATCAAACTGCTAGTGGGGTCAAACTTCAGCTTTTTAGCCCTGTGTCTCAACCATAGATAATTTGATGTGCCTGGTAATGCATCTCTTACTCTCTTGGTTATGTTGTACTGGACATACACCAGATATTTGAATTCCTAAAAGGCATTTGCCTCCACTACCTACTCCTTGGTGTTCCACTTGGTCACCATCAATGCTAAAATTCTTGTGTATATCTCATTGACTTGTTCTGTCATTCAGCTTAAAGTTGTCCTGGTTCCATCTTTGCAGTACCTCTTGAGTGTCTTGTACATTAAGATAAGGTATATGCTGAACCTTTGTTATTTCCAGTAACTAAAGGTGAGTTGCTCAAGTCTATTTTTATAGCACTAAGCTCAGGGATTTTTCTAGTGAAAAAATTATCTGAACCTTTCAAGTTTCTGTTGGTGTTTAAGTTGTGGATTCTTCACTAGTGTTACATAATCCAGTATGAGCCTCTTATATGTGGTGTATATTATCCTGAATTAATCATTGTTAGGATTTTTGAAAAACTTTATCAGTGCTGCATACATCTGTATTATCCTGGAGTTTAGGGCTTAATGCCATTGCATCTCCTTCTTTGTTTTTCAATATTTATGCTAAAATTTTAATATGGTAGACTACTGATATTAAGTTCACTGTTTTCTTCCTATTCAATACCTTGTATACATACACACTGAAGTGATGGAGAGCCTGATGAGTGGCTTACTCAGGCAGCAATGCACCCCTCCCTTAGTATCCAAGGAGAGATCTTGTATTGTCTTGTAGTTTTTTCCCCACATGGAGTGCTTTCATTTTTTTTCTTTTGTCACATCCCTTGGGGATGTTCTTAGGTTCCCTCCTCTTAGATTTGGTAGTTGTCCTTGTTAAGTTAAAAAACAATTTGCACTTATTGAGTTCCTGTCATTATCTCTGAGCAGTTCCCTGTCAGTTCATATTTTAGCTTATTATTGGATGATTCACCTACTGTACATTTTCCTTGTGTGGCTGTGGAATTCCTTGATCTTATTCATTGCTTTCGGGCTATGTCTTTTTTGTATGTCCTCTTCGTTGCCCTCCTAATTCAGAATAACTTGTTCCAGGTTCTCCTGTTTAATTTTTAATTTTTCTCCACAACACACACACACACTGTTGTACCAAGGACTGCTCTTGCATCTATTTTCCCTCACATTTTGGTTTTTAAAGAATCTATTAATGGCTTCTATGCATATTTGTGCGAGATATTCCATCATCCTCAATGTTGAGTTTAGCGCCCCACTTTATTCCATTTATTAACTTAATCCTCAGTCCCTCATGGTTGTCTCCTGTGTGCCTTCCTACTGCTGTTTATCCTGTTGTCATAATTTTCAACCCCACTTTCACCAGGAACTGAAATATGTGACTGTGTCCACTGAATTTAGACTTTCCTGTATTGTATAATGTATGGCTCATGCGGTTTGTAAGCTAGACTAAAGAATTAATCATACAGTACTACTGTAAATTTTGACCTAGGAATAAAATTATTTCTATTACATGTACTGACTGCAACTCTGTTTTTGTAAATAATATTATGTTTAAAACTTAGAATGCTGTATTGTAATTAACATATGAAAACAATGTTTCATTTGAGCTTTAAAACATTTATTTCATAGCTAATACTACATGGCTGCTCTAATTGCTTAATCATGCCACAGTTACATTCCTGCAGGCTAACTGATTATTCCATTACTGTATCAAAGTGTATTGGGTGCTGTAGTGTGAAGTGTGTCAGGGAATCATAGGTATGCTGCTGGTTGATATGCAGCTGCCACATAGGGGTATTTCACGGGCATTGGTGGTTTACTTTGTCTTAAAACGTTCTGATGTAGATTTTTGTCTCCAGAGGTGCCAGCGCCAGACAAAATTCTGAAACCAATGCCCTTTGTGCCGGGCCCCACCATGGTCAAGTTCCCCCCTCATCACCCACCACACCAGCAGGCGCCCCCAGCACCTTCTCGGCAGTCACCAGGTTTTCCTGACTTCAGTAACACCATTGGACCTGATTTTGGACCAGTTACCATTAATGAATACAGTGGCAATTTCAACTCTCCAAACACAGCAGCCCGACCTCCATCTGGTCACCGGCCATCATCATCACATCGTCCTTCTCTGCCTCGGCCTGCTCCCCACCCTTCCTCACCCAGACTTCCTCCTCGACAGAGACCGCCTCTTCCTCGCCCACCCAGACCAATTCATGGCAGACCTGGGGCCTTTAGTAATGTTGGATTTGGTAACTTCAGGGGTAATGGAGGAAATTGTGTCAGGTATACAGAAGACATCTGCCTAGACACTGAGGAGTATCCACAGTAAGTTCCTTTCTCCCAAGATATCATAACATTTAAGCATACTGTATATGCATAATTTAAACTGGTATACTCATTTCTATACTTATTTTAATTATGCTGGCATATTGTTTTGTATTAAAACAATATAACCATATCACGAGTGTGGTGTTGGCAGTGAGGCGATTCTGTCATCGTTGGTGCGTGACCCATCCCGAGCTGATACCATGATTGCTGAGGTAAGGTCACAAAGTGCAGATGACCTGGTAGATGGAGTGTCATCAGCTCAGGAGTCCAAGTATGACTTTCAGCATTATTTTGGTAACAGGTACAATATATCGCTCCTTTTAATCAGTTGAGCACGTTGATCCATGTAAATAATTCTAAAGTGGTATGAAAGTGTCTCTTTGTACTCTTTATATTTGCTGCAAGTTTAACATAGTATACGAGTATCTTTGCATTGAGCATATGTATGAGAAAATTTTATTTTAATAATTATTTATATGGAAATGACTTAGCCATGTAACTCTTATTATTAAGGCGGGCAGATACAGTCAACCATGCTCACCGGGACTTTGCACAAGATGGAGGTTTTTTGTGTCCGGCTGAAGTTAAATATGCCAGACCAAAACGGGCCAGGAACTCAAAGGGTGTGTGGAAGTACATTGTCAATATGGACAAGTATTCACAGACCATCCGCATGGAGAAGTGCATGTAGGTACCACTAGATTATTATTATTATTTCAATACTGGCCATCTCCCACCGAGTCAGGGTGACCCGACAAAGAAGAAAGCACTTTCGCTGTCACTCACTCAATCACTGTCTTGCCAGAAGCATGCTGACATAACAGTTCAAATGACCCTTTATATTACAACATCCCGACTCTTCCTTTAGAGTGCAAGCACTGAATTTCCTGCTAACTGGTTTTTCCTGAATCCCTTCATAAATGATACCTTGCATGCAGGGTGGTAGGACAGTGGTAATGAGTGTACTGTCCCACCATCAAAGAACATAGGAGTGGAGTGCCTCCTACTCATCTTCAATCCCAGTTCAAAGGTCTTTTCAAACGTCAGTACTTCTTGCCTTCCTTCCTTATCTTGAAAGATGCTAAAACAAGGAGATGCAAGTGTTGAACAGACCATCCATATTATTATTATTATAATCAAAAAGAAACGCTAAGCCACAAGGGCTATACAGCCAGACCATCCATAGCCTCACAAGCTGTGTGGATATTAGTATATATTTTTATTGTTCTATATATAATTACTTTTAGTGGCAAATTAAATGTTTACTAAAATTCAGTATTTTAAATAGTCATTATTTAGTTAGAGGTTCTAAGAGAGCAAGGAGTATAAGGTTTAAATTACTAACAGAAATTTTTCCAACAGGAAGCCAGGTGGTGCATGTAGCTATGTCTCACACCATTACCGTGCCACCTGCAACCAGATCTACAATTACCACCGTCTTCTCTCCTGGGATGATGGGCGTGGCCTCCACATGGACATTTTTAAGGTAACTTAAATTTTCATTTTGCAAAATGCTGTATACTAAATCAACAATTTGTCATTTTACTCATTACATGTATCTGCACGTATACTTTTTTTTTTAGCACAGTCCATTTTCCACCAAAGCAGGGTGACCCAAAAAGAAAGAAAAAAACTTATCATTCAGCACTTTCAACATCAATCATACATAATCTATATTATGGTAATTTAAACATTATATATTTAATTGGCATTGATGTATAAAATTCTTAATAGCAAATAAAAAATTCACAAAAAAATGATAAACCAATCAAGGTCCTAATTTTGTTTCTTTACAACACATCCCCCACCAAGATAAGGTGTTATACAATAAGTCATACAATGCTAAAATTTTGATAAATTAGCAAATGTCCTCCCCAGTTATTGGTAACTAAGGAACATACTAGATTCTGCATACATGAACTGTTTTTCAGAGACTGTAGACACCCAGCAAAATATATTAATTCAATTCCTTACCTTATTTCCTACCATGTAAAGGTGAGTCAGCTTTGGGGTAGGATAAATAAAAGCAGAGGCTCATTTATATTCCTGATACTGGTGAAGGTTTCTTAACCCAAGGATTAACCCTTGGATTAAAGCTGATTTTGTCCCATTTTCCAGGAGCTGATAATCATTTATTAACCATCCTGCTAGTCACACATAAATGTGCACATTTTTAAACCTTTATCAAGTTATTGTTAATGTTTAAACTTGCATTTAATTATCTTGAAAGGGTGTTTCTATCCATTGTGTAGAATTTATGTATTACCTGTACATGTTCTAGTATAGTTTGCCCAGTAGCTGTGATGCTGTAAATATGTTAGTGCAGTACATATTGGTCTCAGTAGCTGTGATGCTGTAAATATGTTAGTGCAGTACATATTGGTCTCAGTAGCTGTAATGCTGTAAATATGTTAGTGCAGTACATATTGGTCTAAGTAGCTGTGATGCTGTAAATATGTTAGTGCAGTACATATTGATCTAAGTAGCTGTGATGCTGTAAATATGTTAGTGCAGTACATATTGGTCTCAGTAGCTGTGATGCTGTAAATATGTCGGTTCACTACGTATTGGTATTACCAACTGCTCTGACTTTCAGTAATTACCTACGTGTATTTGTAATTATTGTTGTGTAATATTACAGGTGCCAAGTTGTTGTTCATGCCACATCCAAGGATATGCCTATGTGTTTCCACCATTAAACAAGCTTCAGACTGCAGCTGGGTCAGAGCAAGTCATACAAGCAGTGCCAGCACCCCCACTGGATGACAGCACAGAAGTCCCAAGTAGTGAGGCACCTGAACCAGGTCAGTGACACATTGTCATACTCCACAGTATAGGGATGTTCGTTCTAATTCATCATGCCTACAATGATTAACAACTTAATCCCTAGTATAAATAGCCAGTAGTCAGTTTTTTAACTGTAATGTAGGCACACCTATGGCAAGGCAGTGATGGAGTGAATGATGATGAAAGTGTTTTTTTTTTGGGTCACCCTGCCTCGGTGGGAAATGGTCGATGTGTTAATAAAAATAAATAGTTCTACATAGGGCATGAAAGGCAGTCTGTGGAGAATGTAAAAGCTCTAAGAATCTTAATAAATTCAAATTCCTGGTGCTGCCGACAGTAATCTGTTAGGAAGAGTAATTAGGTAGGAGCTACAGGGAGAATCTTGATTTTACTTACCTATTCCTCTTGCAAGAGGGAGTGATTGTGTTTTCTGCTAGAGTTGCTGTGAAGAATAAGATGTACGTATTTGTACGGTAACCCCCTTACTTAGAATTTTTACCCTATTGACTGACTTTTATTATTAACCCTTAAACGGTCCAAACGTATATATACGTTCACATGCGTAGCGCCCCAAACGTATATATACGTTTTCTTTATCATTCATTCAACATTGCCATGATAAGCCTGAGTCACCTAGACATAAGAGAATGGCTGTGCGCACTCACTGTGTGCCATATTAAAATAATTGGGGATGCCTGGGTACCATATGCTCTTTTTTCCTATTAAAAAAAACATTTTTTTCCTCTCAAAAAATTTGGGGCGCTACACACGTGGATGTATATATATGTTTGGACCGTTTAAGGGTTAAGGGTATTTCAATTGTTCTTCTAACATTTATGTATGTACTATGATTGTGTGTTTGTGTTACCTTAGAAATTATAACTTGTATTTTTTTTTTTTTCAACAAGTCGGCCATCTCCCACTGAGGCAGGGTGACCCAAAAAGAAAATACTTTCATCATCATTCAACACTTTCACCTCACTCACACATAATCACTGTTTTTGCAGAGGTGCTCAGAACACAACAGTTTAGAAGCATGTCCGTATAAAGATACACAACATATCCCTCCAAACTGCTAATATCCCAAACCCCTCCTTTAGAGTGCAGGCATTGTACTTCCCATTTCCAGGACTCAAGTCCGGGTATATAAAAATAACCGGTTTCCCTGAATCCCTTCACTAAATATTACCCTGCTCACACTCCAACAGATCGTCAGGTCCCAAATACCATTCATCTCCATTCACTCCTATCGAACACGCTCATGCACGCCTGCTGGAAGTCCAAGCCCCTCGCCCACAAAACCTCCCTTACCCCTTCCTTCCAATCTTTTCGAGGACGACCCCTACCCTGCCTTCCTTCTCCTACAGATTTAAATGCTCTCCATGTCATTCTACTTTGATCCATTCTCTCTAAATGACCAAACCACCTCAACAACCCCTCTTCAGCCCTCTGACTAATACTTTTATTAACTCCACACCTTCTCCTAATTTCCACACTCCGAATTTTCTGCATAATATTTACACCACACATTGCCCTTAGACAGGACATCTCCACTGCCTCCAACCGCCTCCTCGCTGCTGCATTCACAACCCAAGCTTCACACCCATATAAGAGTGTTGGTACTACTATACTTTCACTATACTTACTCCTAAACCAATATTATTTCATAGTGACCATCTGTCCATTTAACTTTGTTTACCATTACTTAATTTTAGTCCCTTATATATTTTCTCCTTTATTTTAGCTTTATATAACTACCCTAGCTTATACATTCACAATTGTTAAAATAATCAAGGTGCTATTCTCAGGTGCTAAAGTAGAACAAGTTCACAATTTTGGCATTATATTCCAAAGCTCATTTATTTTATAGTACTACCTACTATCATATTCCCAAGCTCCATTATTTGATCATCACTTTATTTGTACTAGTCCCTTTTATATTGTCTCCTTTATTTTAGCTTAAAAAAAAAAAAAAAAAAAAAAATACCTTAGCTCATTATTTTACATTTGTTAAATAATTCAGGTGCTATTTTTTAGCTTAAGACTATTTACTTTGTTTTATACTTAATTCTAACTATAGATTCACTACAAATCTTATGATTACAAGCATTGATCCAGATACCAACCTCTTATTTAATGACTTAAATGAATCAAACAGTTACTGTAATTACTACACTGCAGAACAATCAAAGGCACTTCTCAGTGCCAACAACAACATAACTATCTTTAACTACAATATCAGATCTTTAAGCAAGCATTACGATGACCTCATAGCATTACTAAATTCCTTACATGCCAATATGTCCATCATTACACTAACTGAAACCTGGCTAAAGCCTGATACTACAGATGTCTATACCATTCCTGGTTACACAGCCATACACAACTGTAGGCCAGACCAACAAGGGGGTGGCACAGCCATATACTACTCAGACCAACTAGAATGTATCACTAATACTTGCACAAGAGATGAACATGGGGAATATATAATAGCCAAATTCAAATCCAAATACCTACAAAAACCTCTCACATTGATAAACATCTACAGAGTTCCACAGTCAAACATTAGCCAATTTAGTCAAAACCTAGGAAGTATGATAACTGATGCACGCATGAACAAAGATCACTTACTACTCTCAGGTGACTTCAATATAAATCTCCTGCAAGACCAGGACCCACACGTTACTGAATTCACAAACACAATGAGTAACTGTATGTTGCTACCAACAGTAACAAAACCTACAAGAGTTACAGAGGACTAGTGTTTCCCTACTTGACCACATCTGGACCAACACCATATCCCCTTTAAAATCAGGCATAATTACAGATAATACCACAGACCACTACCCTACTTTCCTCATAACAACTCTTGGTAAATTACCCCAAGACACTACTAAAGTCACCTTCAGACTTCACAATGAGGCAGCCATTAATAACTTCACAACAGCATTAGCAAACATTGATTGGCACACTGAGCTAGAAATCAATACAGATATTGACGAATGTATTAATAATTTTCTAAAAAAGACTCAATACCTCTATAACAAGCACTGCCCTAAAAAAACTAAGCAGATGACAGCTAAGAGACTGAACAGTCCCTGGCTAACACCCAGCATTCTCAAATCCATAAATACAAAACACCAATATGAAAAACAGTACAGAATGGGTCACATAACCAGAGACCAAACAAAACGTTACTCGTCAATCCTAACCAGCCTGATAAGAAGGGCAAAAAAAATTGTATTATGAGAACAGATTATCCAACTTACGAGGTGATATAAAAAAGACCTGGAAAACCCTATCAGAAATTCTGGGAACAAAAAAGATATCACGAAATAGCGAAATAAAATTAGCAAAATCAGATGAACCCCAACTCCCACCAACAGAAACAGCAAACAGACTCAATGATTTCTTCTCCACTATAGGACAAAACCTTGCCAATAAAATCCCAAGCTCAGATACCCCACCAAATGACTACCTCACCGGCAACTACCCGAACACACTGTTCCTAGCTCCGACTAACCCATACGAAGTCTCCCTTATTATCAACGCACTAAAAAACAAGGCAGGAGATTTAAATACCTTACCACCCTTTATATACAAAAAAGTGTCACAAGTGCTATCACCAATCATTGCAACACTCTTTAACAAATCCATTGAATCCTCCACCTTCCCTACAGTACTCAAAATAGCAAGGGTCACCCCGATCCACAAAGGAGGAGACCAAACAGAGTTGAATAACTATAGGCCAATATCCAACTTACACCCTCTCTCAAAAATCTTCGAAAAATTAATTCATAAACGAATCTACTCCTACCTTATCTCCCAAAACATACTCAACCCCTGCCAATTTGGATTCAGGCCTAATAAAAATACTAATGATGCTATTATACACATGCTAGAACATATATACACTGCAATAGAGAAAAAAGAAGTCCCACTGGGGATCTTCATTGACTTACGTAAAGCTTTTGATACAGTTGACCATGACTTGCTCCACGTAAAATTATCACACTATGGTATAAGAGGGCACTCCCTCAACTACCTCAAGTCATACCTCAGCAACAGAAGCCAATATGTGTACGCAAATGGGGCAAACTCTTCTGCACAACCAATTACAGTTGGTGTCCCACAGGGAAGTGTCCTTGGCCCTCTTCTCTTTCTCCTATACATAAATGACCTACCAAATGCTTCTCAATTACTCAAACCCACACTATTTGCTGATGACACAACATACGTCTTCTCCCACCCGAGCCCAGTCACGCTAGCCAATACTGTAAATACCGAATTACAGAAAATATCTACCTGGATGAGTACTAACAAACTTACACTAAACATTGACAAAACCTACTTCATTCAGTTTGGTAACAGAGCTACAGATGTCCCTCTTAACATAATGATAAACGGATCACCTATCACAAAGCTAACAGAGGGAAAATTCTTAGGAATCCACCTTGATAATAGACTCAAATTTCATACACATATACAACAAATTTCTAAGAAAATTTCCAAGACTGTAGGCATACTATCGAAGATACGGTACTATGCTCCACAGTCAGCCCTCCTGGCCCTATATCACTCTCTTATTTACCCCTATCTCACCTATGGAATTTGTGCATGGGGCTCAACAACAAGTAACCATCTCAGACCACTAATTACCCAACAAAAGGCTGCAGTTAGAATGATAACAAATTCTCACTACAGGCAGCACACTCCACCAATATTCAATACACTCAACCTACTCACCATACAAAACATCCATACTTATTACTGCACCTATTACATACATAGAACACTCAACTCTGATATTAACCCTCCCCTCAAACATCTCCTTGCCAACCTCAACAGAACACATGACCATAACACAAGGCACAGATCACTCTTTGATATTCCTCGTGTCCATCTCACGCTATGCAAAAACTCAATGCACATAAAAGGCCCTAAAATCTGGAATTCATTACCTGTTAATTATAAAAGAAACACTACCTGTTTATAAATTCAAGTCTCTTCTCAAAGATCACTTACTCACCCAAAACCAAATAAATACTGAATAACTGAACCTTATAAATTGTATATCTTAAATGTTTCTCACAATTATATCACATAAATGTTAAACCTAAAACCCAATCTAACTTTATTATTTTTTAAATTCACTACCTAACAGAATACTCCATTCTACTGAATTTACAACAATGCATGCAACCATATGACCTGTCTTTGTAATACTCACTTGTGCTTTATAGTAATCAGTTTACATTAATGTTTTTCACTGATTTCATCATTGCTTAGTTAATCTTAAGTTAATTTTAAGCCAGCCCGTAATGCTATGCATAGTATAAGTGGCTTTGGCATGCTGCTCTTATCTGTATTTTTTTTGTACCTCTGTAAGTGTGCTCAAATTATAAATAAATAAATAAATAAATAAAAATAAATACATTCCCTTCTTTGCCTGCATAGATAACATTTTGTGACTCCACATATACCTCAATGCACCACTCACCTTTTTTCCTTCATCAATTCTATGATTAACCTCATCCTTCATAAATCCATCTGCCGACACGTCAACTCCCAAGTATCTGAAAACATTCACTTTTTCCATACTCCTCCCCAATTTGATATCCAATTTTTTTTTATCTAAATCTGTATGTTTGTACAATGGTAATAAGGAGTTACCATCACCCTGACATGTGAATGATAAAAACTGAAGCCTGTGTAATGTTTTGCAAAGATAGAATGTTGCTTCTTACAGTGTTTCTCTCATAAACATTTATATTTTACTGGTTTTAGGGATCATAACCCAGCAGCTTAGTTTCAGACTTCTAAATTAGAAAAAAATATTGCAGGAATCAGAGCTATAGTGAAACACAGGAAAATAAAGAATAGTGTATACTGAATAGAAGTTAAAATTTGTAAGATTTACCTATCATCTTAAATATTCATGAGACAGAAAGGAATGACCAGCAGCACTGAGAGAGTGCAAGAGACAGAAGAGTAGTACCATAAATCTTTGATTTGATGGCCTGGTAGGAAGAGGAGTGGTTGGCCAGTAATGGTGATTGTGGTGGATGGAAATGAGATTGTTTTGCCATGATTGTAACACTAACAGATAATTCTGTAGCCAATGGACTTTGTTCATTGTTTCTGAGCCAGGTGTCCAGGCAGATTGTATCTCATGTTTCCAAAGTCCGTTATATCTTTGACCCCACTGTACCTCCCTGGATGGTCGTCTACCACCCGAATATTTATTCAAAGATACTGTACTGTGTGGGGGTAGGGTAGGGTGGGATGGATGAAAGAATGAATTACAGTACCAGTGTGCAGCTCTCCCTCATACACATTGTTAGAATGCAGCAGCAGGAGCACATCTTAACCAGCAGAATTTGAACACTGATTGAGCCTAGCTTCAAATCCTTCTAATTTAAAAATAAGGAAGACTTAAAGAATATATTGCCCACTTTCTCTTTATTGATTCATTTTCCTTTGTGATGTAAACTAAATCATTACCTTTTGTGAGCTTTAAACTACAGAAGCAACTGTTATTCAGTGTGAGGCTTTTCACATAATTATTACTTGAGATCAGTTACAGTATCAATCAATATTTGTCTTAATAACTAAAATATATGCTTTAGTACAAAGTCAGGGGAACTTCCGCAACGTTGAAAGTGGGCCACCTGGCCGACAGCGTAGACCCAGCCAACGTTCTGAAGGGTCCAGAAGGCCAGCAGGTCCATGGCCTGCCAGAGATGAATCCAGTCACAGCATACGCAGGTGTGTATTACCTCACATTCATGAGTGAGTAGTTGTCCTCTCTGGTGCAATTCTCAGTTTCTCCTTTCTTCTACTTCCTTATCATTTCACTCCTCCCTCCAGCTGCTCTGCTCTTCCCCCACATGCTGCTGGTGCCACCCACCTCTTCTTCAATTTATCTTAGTGTTACCATATGTCACTGACACAGGTATTTACAATAGCTTTAAGTTCAATGTCATGAGATTCATGGCTGGAGAATTTGACCCTTTAGTACAATTTTAACTTGTAAACGAGATCTATTCTAAAGTACATTTTCACAAGCATTTATTATTATTATTATGGAGCATTAAACCCATAGGGATTATACATCACATGTGGGGGGGATGAAAGGCATTCAGGCTCAGTTCAGGGAACTGGAGCACAGATCCAATTCCCTAGATCAAGAGCCCCTCACCAGCATCGAGGAACCTCCCTTGAGGGGTTCACAGGCAATATAATTAAATATTTCAGAAAGATGGCAGACTTATATAGCAGAGTCCTCATCAGTGCTGAGATAGAGGCCTTTGGCCAAGATCTTAAGTTCACTAATGAACTCAGAAAAACAGAGTACTATTGACTTTGTAACACAACTAAACTCAATAACCTTTAACTTAATATATGGTTAACCTGTAAAAGCTGGTCCAGTGGACAGTGCCAAAATGCAACACCCAAGCACTAGAAAAGCTGTTAGAGGAGAGGATCATTAGGATATTATGGGATACAAAGGTGGAAATGTAAACACTGTAGGTGTGGATAGCTAAGTGTGTAAAATGAGAGAGATATTAATGGTAGTCATGTTCAGACTTGTGGCTCAGTTGTACAGATTGAACTTAGAGAGTTTTTGTTTGATAGTTTTATTATGCACCCTCTGCCTATCTTGTATGCCATAAACATAAAAAAATTACAGAGACCCATTACCTGGAGAGGGTTTTGGGGGTCAGTGCCCCCGCTGTTCGGTCTGAGACCAGTGCCTTCTTGAAGACAGCCAGGGGTCTATTGGTAATCCTCCTTATGTATGCTGGGAGGCAGTTGAACAGTCTTGGGCCCCAGATACTTATTGTGTTGTCTCAGTGTACTTGTGGCACCCCTATTTTCATTGGGGAAATGTTGCATCTCCTGCCGAGTCTTTTGCTTTCATAGGGAGTGATTTTCGTGTGCAAGTTTGGTACTAATCCCTCTAGGATTTTCCAAGTTTATATTATCATGTATCTGTCTCGCCTGCACTCCAGGGGATACAGATCAAGGGCCTTCAACTGTTCCCAGTAATTTAGGTGCCTTATCGTACTTTTGTGTGCCATGAAAGTTATTTGTACACTCTCCAGGTCAGCAATTTCCCCTGCCTTGAAGGGGGCAGTTAGTGCACAGCAGTATTCCAGACTAGAGAGAACAAGTGATTTGAAGAGAATCATCATGGGCTTGGCATCCCTAGTTTTGAAGGTTCTCATTATCCATCCTATCATTTTCCTAGCAGATGGGTGGTTCTTCACATTACTTTTTCACTCTATTGTATGCTTAGAATTTGTCATATACCCTGATACAGTTTTAATTACCTCAAGTTTTCCATATCTGAGTAGTTGAAATTTCTCTTCATTGAACTTCATATTGTTTTGAGTGGCCCATTTGAAGATTTGGTTTATGTCTGCTTGGAGTCTTGCGGTGTCTTCGATGGAGGTCACTCTCATGGCAGTCTGGGTGTCATCCACAAAGGAAGACATGGAGCTATGGTTTACATCTTTGTCTATGTCAGCTATGAGGATGAGGAGTAGAATGGGAGCAAGTACTGTGCCTTGTGGAACAGAGCTTTTCACTGTATGAGGACTGGGCTCATATATGGAAAGATCAAGAAGTTCATCCAAGGGGTCAGTTAGTTAAATTTTGCATGCCATTGTACATAGGGCAAAGATCCTAGCTGATGCAGATACCTTAATTTTACTCATATTTTTTAATATTGTAGGCTCTAATGACATTTTTCTGAAAGTATGTATATTTGCACACTTGCCACACAGGTACAGTATATATTAATGTCAGTTTATGTACTGCTTATCATCACAACTCTACCCTCTCATTGTTTACCATATAACCATGGCTTCTGTGAGGTTACTTTTCATACTCTGTTTTGGTTCAGCAGGAAAGTCAACAAATTGAACAAACTACAGTGTATATTTGTATTGTTAGATAGCAAAAGCTGCATAAGTAGAATAATTTAGGAATCTGGTTGTGGCATGTAGGCTATATTTTACCCATCCCTGCCTAAACGTGTACTTCACTCTCTTCATAAAAACTTTACCATGTTCAACAACTTGTTTTCTTACTCTTTGTACCATACCTTGCAACTCTTGCCACACATCTCCTTACAAACCATACCACGGGTGGGGTTTGAACCCGCGGTCAGAGAGTCTCAAAACTCCAGACCATCGCGGGTTCAAACCCCACCCGTGGTATAGTTTGTTTGTAATCGTGTCATTACGATTTCATGAGTCATCTCCTTACAACTTTTCCAAATTCATAAATGTAGCAAACCTTCCCTTTCCTGTATATAAATGCAGGATTGCTCATTCATATACTTCAACACAACAGTTTGATCCACCAATCCACATTCCTTTTTAAATCCATTCTCTTTTTCTCTGGTCATACCTCATGATTTTCTGATATCACTAATGCTACAATAAAACTATGCATTTTTACTTAATATTCTTAACTTGACCAAAAACAAATCCATTCATCTTCACCTGATACTGAATATTAATATTGATTGTATACCTACAGCAGGATGCAGGAGGTGGAGGAGCACTCCCAGCAGGTGACTGGTCAGCCTCCTAGCAGTAGGCTGAGGCCACATAATAATGACTCTGCTAGGACAAAAGATACCAATGACAAAGTGAACTATGGCTACCACCCCATCATTGACTTCTTCAGTCCATACAGGCTCCAGAACCGTAGAAAATAGAGATCTCTATCTTTCTTGACAATGTGTTTACCAAGAATTTGAGGACAGTATTGGCAGGGGTTCATGGCTTTGGTTCACACATCTGTTTTTTTAGGGTAAAGTGGATTTTTTATTTTAATATGGCTGCTAGGTACTGAGATTTACAATGTATTATTTTTTAATTTGTTTCTGAATACATTTTCACACCTTGTGATCTTTTTATTGAAGTATGTGAAAAGTTCATAGAAACTAAAAGATCCTAGTTGATGCAGATACATTAATTTTACTTATATTTTTAATAATGTAGACTAGTGGCATTTTTCAAAAGTATACTGACCTTAAAATGTTAGTAAAAATGGGTAATATTATTAATATTTTTTAATTCATGGAAAAGCACAAAACCTGTAAGGGTCGTACATTGCTACGGATATAGGAGTGGGTGGGAGTTAATTAGGTTTGATCCAAGGAAAGGAAGAGTAACATTAGTTCCTTGAAAAAAAGTGGGAATTACAGTGGAACCTCAAAAATCGAACGTATCACATATCGAACGTTTCAAAAATAGGACCATTTTTTCGGACAAACTGTGTCCCTGTTATCGAACGCGCCCCTATTTTCGGACCGCCGGGTACAGGACCTGTCTGCCTGCCCGCTGTGTCCGCGTCCCCGTGCAGGCGCCGTGAGCAGTCTAGCTTTGTTCATGCTTGAGTGAACACTAACCTGCGCTCTCATTCACGCATTTTACGATTATTCTGTTGTGTTTAGTGCTTGTGGGACTGTGAAATAAGCTGCCATGGGCCCAAAGAAACTTGCTAGTGGTACCCCTGTGGTAAAGAAAGTGAGAAACACCATAGATGTGAAGAAGGAAATAATACAGAAGTATGAGAGTGGTGTGAGACTTGTTGAGCTTGCCAGGATGTATGGGAAAAACAAGTTGACCATCGGTTCTATCCTGTCAAAGAAAGAACAGATCAAGGAAGCTGATGTTGTGAAAGGTGTTAATATGCTAACCAAAAAAAGACCACAAATAGTTGAAGAGGTTGAGAAGTTGTTGCTGGTGTGGATCAAGGATAAAGAGATTGCAGGTGATAGTGTTTCAGAGACGATTATTTGAGAAAAGGCAAGGAAGTTGCATGCCCATCTGGTACAGAAAACTCCTGGAACCAGTGCTGATAGTGAATTTAAGGCCAGCAGAGGCTGGTTTGACAGATTTAAGAAGCCTAGTGGCATACACAATGTTACACAAATAACCCGCACATAAAAGAGAGAAGCTTACGACGACGTTTCGCTCCGACTTGGACCATTGACAAAGTCAATGTCAATGGTCCAAGTCGGACCGAAACGTCGTCGTAAGCTTCTCTCTTTTATGTGCGGGTTATTTGTGTATTGTTCCAGTCACGGTATTGTGCCTTTTTGTTATTTATACACAATGTTGTAAGACATGGTGAGGGCTTTACCTGAAGTCCTCATGGAGGGGGATTCTCCTTCCAAACACTAACCCCAACTCCCTCTCTCCTCCTCCCTATCTTCCAGATGCCATCGCCAATCTTCAATAAAGGTAAGTAAAAATGTTATGTTATATGTATTACTATACATAATTAAAAACTATAGTACAGTGGACCCCCGCATAACGATTACCTCCGAATGCGACCAATTATGTAAGTGTATTTATGTAAGTGCGTTTGTACGTGTATGTTTGGGGGTCTGAAATGGACTAATCTACTTCACAATATTCCTTATGGGAATAAATTCGGTCAGTACTGGCACCTGAACATACTTATGGAGTGAAAAAATATCGTTAACCGGGGGTCCACTGTATTTGTTGTGTGTAAAACTGTAATTAATCTCTATGAAATGTATTTTTTGTGTGAATATTTTTGGGTTTCTGGAATGGATTAATTGTATTTCCATTATTTCTTATGGGAAATATTGCTTCGAATTTCAGACTTTTCAAATTTAGAACTAGCCTCCTGGAACGGATTAAGTTCGATTTTTGAGGTTCCACTGTACATGGTAGAGTAGTAACTTTATAAGCCCTATAATTGTACATAAAAATTCATCATTACTTTTTTTAAACCAAGAACTTGTTCAGTATTTTACTCCTGGTCACACACACACAGAACATACATTATATAAAAATTTTTATGCAGCAGCAGTATGTCATCTCTGCCTAAAAAATCATAAGTTTGAAGATCTTCTACAAAATAGATCTGAGAGTTATGAAATGAGATTTATGAAGTCAGACTGAAGACATGTGGAATGACCTTCTTGGTGGACAGGGATGTTGCAGTGTGGAGGCTCATTTGAACTGTGATGTCCATGCACTTCTGGCAAGGCAGTTATTTAATAAATAATTGGGAATGTATTTCCTTATTGGGGTCACCATACCTTAGTGGGAAATGGCTTAAATTGTAAAAAATATACACACACAGGTTGGTGAGAAAGACACTGCAGTGAGGCCTTTATTACAAGGCTTTGTCCAGGAGTGTACTTTCCCTATCAGCCATAAAATCTAGTATTGAATGAAATTTTGTAATAAAGGCCTCACTGCAGTCAAAGTGTTGGTCTCACTACCTAGCTGTTTACACCATCATGTGTCTGCATAAAAATTCATTAAAGGATATGAGAAAATACATCAGGAAGCCACCCTGACAACTTCAGTAGGGTAAACAAGAAGCCACTGAAAGAAACTTAAAGAAAAAATTGATATAGAATGAGCACTAGAAAATATTTCTTCACAAATAAGTGGTACTCTCAGGAAAAGGTGCCTAGATGTCAATGAGAGGCCCCTTGATCCAAAGAGTTGGACTTGTCCTCCTCTTCCTTGGACCAAAATGGATTACCTCTGATTCCCCTGGCACTATACCTGGTATGACCCCTGTAAGTTTAGTGTTTCCCCCAAATAGAGGTAGGTAGATGGAATAAGATTCAAGAGTTGTAGTGTGCTATAATGACTGAACTTTAAAAGGAAATTAGAACAAATAAAATGCAGTACTGTACTTAAAATAGGACACCACAAACAATCATCATTCCACTTCTCTAGACTGTACATATGTAATAAGTGATCTCACATATCAAAGTTAATGGATGTGATAATTTAGAATTTTCTCAGTCAAGTGTGTAGGTAAGGACATATGCACAGTTCAGGACATACGTACATGTAAATGTGTTGCTGTCAAAAATAGGGACACACACATATATAAGTCAGTCATAGGAGCAATGGTATCACCACTTAACATCTGTGACATTATATAATTAAGGTGGTGGTGGCGAGATGGGAAAACATCTCTTTAACATGGATCATTGCCAGATGATGACCAACTCAGGAATTAAGCAACTGTTGACTTACCAGTACTCTATACCTGTGGTTAAGCATCTGCTGGCATACTGGAGCTATGTTTTCCACCCCAATTATACAACAAGGAATGGCATTTTTATGCCCTAGAATGAGCATAGTACTACTGTATACAATTAGCATATAATCAGAACTCAGACATTCATATTAACTATTAACATAATGTGGAACATTGCAAGTACAAAAATAGCTTCTAGAAACCAGCAAAAATTCTCTTAGGACAATATCTCACATTAAGTAAGGTCCTTATGCCAAATGCCATACCAGTGGGGAATCCACATCTTAAATCATTTAAGAAGATTCTTCGGTTCAGAGGTTTGCCACCAAACTACCTCATGGATTTTAACATACAGTAAAAGGTAGAGGTTTTGACTTTGTGAATATAAACAGAGTATCCAAGGTGTTTAAACAGGAGGGAGCATGATTGGAAACTGACAGAATGAGCCAAAGACATGTAAGAAACAACAACATAAGGAAGAGTATAGTGAGCAAGTGAAATGCATTTTATGAGATATTGTGGTGAATGCCAGACGTGAATTAATATGTACAGTGTTTAATAACCCAAGGGATTAGGGATGTATCTTACTGAATGATTGATTTGTGATTGAGACGCAGGGCTCAAAAACTAAAGCTTGAATCTGAAAAAAATCGGCAAAGTAAGCACACACAATACTAGTCCTCCAATTTTGAATAAGTTCCTAATATCAGTATAAAATTTACCATGAAATTCTCTCTTTTGGAAAATGTCTATAGTGCATCATATTTTACTTTGTTACAATAATTATAATTTTTACAGTACAGTGGACCCCCGGTTTACGATCAGCTCCCAATGCGACCAATTATGTAAGTGTATTTATGTAAGTGCATTTGTATGTGTATGTTTGGGGTCTGAAATGGACTAATCTAATTCACAATATTCCTTATGGGAACAAATTTGTTCAGTGCTGGCACCTGAACATACTTCTGGAATGAAATAATATCGTAAACCAGGGGTCCACTGTATATAAAGTATCAGTGCATCTGCCATTCCATACCATTGTTGATGATTCAAGACTACAAATTGATCCCCCTGTTTGGTATTTTTTAACCATTCACTGTACTATCCTTAAATACTCCCAGAGAATCTGATTATAGACGTTTAATTTGAGGTAGTAGACATGACTTGTTTCTTTAGATATTCCTCATGATTGTATTTGCAGACAGAATTGTTACCTTGTCAGTTATATAACTGGCAAATAGATTTTAGAATATTCAAATTAAGATGAGAATCTAAAGGTAACTTAATTTTTAAAATATATGTATGTATATTCTTTATAAGAATGCTATCTGGTAAATAATAAAAGTAACTTAATGTGTGGCAGCTCATAGTATTGCTACTCATAACTTAATGCAACTATAATAGGAACATAATATTGTTCATAGATTAATTCAAACTGTACAACATACTAGAGTTCAACCTTATTTATGACTTAATGTGTTATTGTTGTTTTTCATCCTTTGTTATTTATTACATATAAGCTTGTCCCTCCAAAAGTAATCTGTATCCTCTTCCATTCTGACTAACAGTCACAAATTATTTTGTGTATTTCACATATTGAAGCATACTTCTTTAAAATTGTTTATACTGATGTGTAGCATTAAGTTTATATGGATGAGAGATCAACCTTGGCAAGCAGAAAAGCCTCTATTTTGCACATCATTAATGCATAAGTTCTAATACTGTATCTTGCATTTACCATTTATTGTGCATAGTAGATAAAATTATTTGTTTTTACATTCATTGTAAGTATGGGTATTGTGTTATTGTATGATGACAGGTGTTACACTGAGTTGACTTTTTTTTCAACAAGTTGGCCGTCTCCCACCGAGGCAGAGTGACCCAAAAAGAAAATACTTTCATCATCATTCAACACTTTCACCTCACTCATACATAATCAGTTTTTGCAGAGGTGCCCAGAACACAACAGTTCAGAAGCATATATGTATAAAGATATACAACACATCCCTTCAAACTGCCAATTGAGTTGACTGTCAGGTGTTAATTCTTATCTTGTGGCCTGCCAAATGAGGTTTCCAACATTGTCATTTCTGCTGTATTATGCCAAGCCCTGTATATTTTTTTTATGTTATTCACTATTACTTGCCCTTCATTGTTATATAATTCTCACCATGCACTTTTCTTGTGTGCCCTTTTCTTTCCCCAGCACATAATACTCTTATTATATACGCTTTCCTGCCCATCCCTTCCATGTGTTCAGCCCTTTTGTGATGTTTTAATTATCACTTGCTATATATCTGGCCCTACCATATTACCTATCTTATTTGTTATCCCTAATCATGTGTCCTGCCTTATTCACTTTAATGTGCTACCATATTTCCTTATACATGTATTGTTATGTTTGTGATAATAAAAGTTACTGTTGAAAAAGTGTCTTCCTTAATATAAAATAAATCAAGAAACACCAGAGTGGTGCAGACTTACTAAGTAAAATGCTTATGCACGTATAAATAAGGTCTCACTCTTAGTAGATGAAAAATAAGAGACAGTACTGCTCTTTGCACTTAATGACAGCCACGAGTATAGTGCTTCACACAAATAAAAAAATACATAACAAAGCAAGTGATTATTAGTGAATCTAAAATGACGAGTTAAAAAAAGAAACTACAGTAAACCTCATAATGTGAGGGTTACCTTCCTGAAGTTGGTGTGTAACACACAACAGCATTACTTGAAGTGAAGATTGGGGGGGGCAAGAAATAGGTTAACTTTACGGTCACCTCCAAATTTGCAAAACAAAGTATTTTTTTACTATAATACTATATATAAATATACTGGTAAATATAGAGTACAGAATGTCATTTATGGTTTCATGTTGATCTGTCACTGTTAAGATTTGACAAAGTAGAACTGTTTACCTGGAATTACCTGGAGCCGTTCTGAAGGTCAACGCCCCTGCGAGACAGTTCTTGACCAGGTCTCCTATCCAAAATACTAGGCACAGTCAGCAACTCACACTGGAGATATTCTCAAGACCTCTGCAGGCTTAACAATGTAGTAATTAAAAATGAGAAGACAAGTGAATCAGGGCCTGAGCAACCAGGCTGTTACTGCTGGCCACATACGTACCACAGCCTGGTTGATCAGGCATTGACTAGGTATCTGAAATCTGAGTACTTAGTGCTTCAGTTTGAGTAGAAGCTTGTAAACAAGTCAGATGTGTTTTGAATTTCATGTTATACATAGGTTAGCTAGCATTTTCGTTTTATTACAGTGGTCCCTCGTTTTTCATAATCAGTTCCTGGAAGGGTGACTATTATCAAAATTGACGATTTTCAAATCTATTTTCCCCATAAGAAATAATGTAAATACAATTAATCCATTCCTGACACCCAGAAGTATTAAAAACAAAAAATTGTTTTACATGAAATATAGATGTAGTACATACACAATACAATGGGACATGATGAATGAAACATTAACAGCATAACACTTACCTTTGTTGGTGATTCTTCTTAGTGTATGGAAGACTGGAGGAGAGAGATTGTTTTAGTTACTGTTTGGAAGGGAAATCCCCTTTCATCAACACCTCAGGTACCAAGTGCTTTTCTGTGGTTACTTCTCTGTTTCTTAATGCCACTAGGACCAACTTAAGAGTCACTGTACACCTGTGGCACTAAATACTTGTCCAGAGAGCTCTGTTTCTGGTGTCTCTTTAAAACTTCCCTAAAATGGGCCAAGACTTTGTCACTGTACATGTTGCCGACATGGCTTGCAACAGCCTTGTCAGGGTGATGTTTCTCCATAAATCTTTCTATCTTACCCCACATTTCAAAAATCTCCTTAATTTCTGAAGAAGGCAACTTCTTCCATCTCTCTTCCTCCTCCTCTGCAGCAATATTCTGAGCTGCAGTCTGTTGCTGTTCCTGCTGAAGCTCTTGCAGCTCCTCAGTGGTTAGCTCTTCGTTGTGGTCCTCCACCAATTCTTCCACATCCTCCAAACTCACATCCAACCCCATGGAAATCCCCAATGCCACAATAGATTTCACAACTGTCATAGGCTCATCAGGGTCAGCACCAAACCTTTCAAAATCCCTCTTGTGGACACAATCTGGCCATAATTTTCTCCAAGCAGAGTTCAAAGTCCTGGTAGTCACTCCCTCCCAAGCAGTACCTATAAGGCTTATGCAATGGAGGATACTGAAGTGATCTTTCCAAAACTCTCTTAGGGTCAAGTGAGTGTCTGAGGTCACATTAAAGCACCTTTGAAACATTGCTTTGGAGTAGAGTTTTTTAAAGTTTGAAATGACCTGCTGGTCCATGGGCTGGAGGAGAGGAGTGGTATTAGGGGGTAAAAACTTTACTGTGATGAACCCAAACTCCTCCATAATTAGGTCATCCAAGTTTGGAGGATGAGCAGGTGCATTGTCCATTAGCAGGAGGCACTTGAGATCCAATTTCTTTTCCAGGAGGTAATTCTTCACATTAGGGCCAAACACTTCAATGAACCACTCGATGAAAATTTCCCACGTGACTCATGCCTTATTATTAGCTTTCCAAAATACACACAATTTACTCTTCATAACATTGTTTTTTCTGAACACTGGGGTTTTCAGAATGGTACACTAGTAATGGCTTCACTTTGCAATCCCCACTAGCATTAGCATAGAACATGAGCATCAGCCTTTCATAGGCTTGTGTCCTGGTAGTCCCTTTTCCTCCTGAGTAATGTAGGTCCTCTTTGGCATTTTCTTCCAAAAGAGGCCTGTTTCTTCACAACTGAACACTTGCTCAGGTTTCAGTCCTTCAGCCTCTATGTACTCCTTGAATTCACTTACGAATTTTGTAGTTGCAGTTTTGTCTGAACTGGCAGCCTCGCCATGCCTTATCACACTGTGTATGCCATTGCGGTTCTTAAATCTCTCAAACTAGCCTTTGCTGGCCTTAAATTCACCAATATCAGTACTCGTTGCAGGCAGTTTCTTTACGAGATCGTCATGCAACTGCCTAGCCTTTTCACAAATAATCAACTGCATAAGACTATCTTCTGCTAATTGTTTCTCGTTTATCCACACCAATAATAACTTCTCAACATCTTCGAGCACTGGTGATCTCATTTTTGTCAGCATATTTACCCCCTTTGCAACAGCAGCTTCCTTGATTTCCTTTTTCTTGGCTATGATGGAAGCTATGGTTATATGGGGTTTGTTATACATCCTGGCCAGCTCTGCCACATGTACGCCACTTTCATATTGTTCAATGATGTATTTCTGACCTTCTTTACCAAAGGCCAGGCACTAGGCGCTTTCTTTGGAGCCATGGTAGCTTATTTAGCAGTTGCAAGCACTAAAATGTATGGAATATTATGAAATATTTCGTATGGACAAGTGAAGGACCGTCACTCACTGGTAAACAATGGCACACTGGCTGGGAAGGGAGGGCAAGGCGGCTCGGAGGCATGTGTACGCTTCCCGAACGAACGACGATTCACGAGTCAAATGACTATTCGCGAGCCAGTGTTTTGACGAAAATAATGTTACAATTATCGAAAATTATGACTATCGAGCCTTGCGATTATCAAGGGACCACTGTATTTGTGCTTTTGGGCCTGAATCCAGACACGGATTAAAAGTATATGTAACTATGTATTATTTTATCAAATGTTTTTGATAGTATTGGCTTGGGATAGAGACTAGCATGATCTTGGTTCTTTTGAATAAGTCAAAAGAAAGTTTGGAATTCAGGTTATTTGTTAAATACAGGTACTGCAATGGTTGGTCATAAATAACAATCTGTCATCAAAAAATTTTGCAAGTGCAGTAATAAAAGAAGGTTGTGCAATTTTGGCAATTTTAAGGAAAACATTTAAGAGATGCTATAAAAAATCACAGTATATTTAAGACAGGAGTTATAATATTTGGCTATGGTTATCACACATAATGAAAGCACAAGTAGAACAGAATATACAGGGTAATAAATTTAAGATGCTGAAATGACAAAATCACCTTCCACCACTGTTAGCATAGTTACACATGATAAACTGATACCATGCCTTAATACTGCCATCATTATAAACTCCTAAGATGTTCAGCAATATTACAAAAAACGCGATTCTAAAAGCTTAAGAGATCTCCAGTGAATACTAGAAAGGACTGCCCTTCTAGCATCCAGCCTGTTACTGGGTTTTCGTAACAATTAGTCAGTATCCTTGTCAAATTATCCATTAGAATTCAATATGATTCAATAGTGCTTCAGGATTACAACTGGTAGGCTACTAACTAGAGAAATTAAAATTTAATAAATTTATTAAGTCTAGAGGTATATTATCAAATTAAATTAAATTAATCACAGTAATCAAAATAATATTAATCACTTCTCTCGTATACAGTATTATTGTGCTGAAAGCACATATCACATTTATAATTCTTAAGTACCGTCTGGTACATTAACATTTAATAAGATATTACAAATATGTACAAGCAAGTTTGTGTGTATGTGTGTAAGTGCTCTAAGTAGTTCGCTATGTCTCACGACTTGACTAGACTTAAACAAGTGACTGACAAAGTCCTCACAAACTAACTTCTTGACCAACTGGCAATCAGAGCAGTCTGCTTGAACAATAAAAAGAATGCTAAGCCCAATAGCAATATAACAAGCAAAAGTGACACAGAATCAGGAACTAGGAGATAATATAATGACACTAAGTAGGGATCATCAGCAGATCCTCCACAAAAGACACACATCTCCCATACTACTGAATCTAAGTTCAGCATAAGAAAATCCCGACTGTGACAGTACACAGAAACCAGTACAAATTAGGTCAGAAGCTACAGCTCAGGACCTGAGTTACTCAGAGTGTCTATGAGACACACAACCTCAGTACAACGTCGAAAATCACTAAGTCTATACAATGTTCTGTGAACAGTCTCTCCAGAACTAACAAGAATAATGAGACAGACGATCTGTCCAACCACCAAGAGAGTCTAGACCAGACTGAATACTTCAGGTGAGGTGAGGACACCCCCCCCCTTGATCACGTGATAGCTCCGTGGATAGCTGCAGCTCAGCAACAGAAGCCGGCAGAGTAACGAGCCACAAGCGATAATTACAGTAGTTAGACAATCAAGACTTGAACTGAGCACATAATAATATGTTACATCCTACCTAACAAAAGGAAACTAAGTCAATGTGAGGGAAAAGTTCAATAAATAGGAGTAGCGAGGGAATATATAGTAACAATAGTTTCATTGCCGGCTACTTGTTAAGGCAGGGTAAGTCAAGCTCCCGCTATTCCCGCCTTTTTTCCCCCACCCCTAAAGTGATAGTTTGTTTGCCGGCTGCTTGTTAACGTAGGGTCAGTCTAGCTCCCACTATCCCTTCCCCTCCCTCTTCCCCCCCCCCCCCCGAAAGGTGACGTGTGGGGCTCTGGTCAAACAGTAAATCACTCGACTCACAGCTCCCAACACTACTGTAAGTACCTGCCTGCCTTGTATTCTAGTGGATTTATTGGTTGAAAGCTTCACTTTGGACCAATAATAAACTTAGTCTTTTCAGCCTTGCTCTAAGTTGACTGTTGTAATAATCACCACGTCTTTTAGGTATTGTACTTATCATGGAGAGTGATTATTTAAGCAGTGGGTAACCTGTCTATCTTTTCAGCTTGGATGACAGAGAGGGTCACCTGTCAATCAACGAGAAAAACTGAAGGAGACGGACTAACGTCCTGGAGACGTCCCATATTGGATTTACTTGCCTGTGCACTTGTATGAAGAATCAGGACATAACCCCTCATCATTACAGCAGTCAAGAACCTGATCTCCTGTCATGAGGAAAGATTACTTAGAGCCACTAGAACGAGCCAGTGGGTTGTCACCAACAACTGCGACCCCCCCCCTCCCACATCATCAGCAACGGCTTCTATTGCAACAATACGCAGTCACCAACACCAGACACCCAAGTTTTTAGCGTTGAATTCAGATATCATTTATATTTTTAATTTTTCATTTTCTTTCATGTAGGATCAGTATTTCATATTTAAGTGTTTTATATTTCATATTTCCTAAATAATAAAGTGTTTATATTTGTCAGTTTTTGTTCTTTTTCTATTCATTAATTTTCCTGAGGAGGAGCCAGCCTGAGTAATACTGACTGAAGTTGTTACAGGGCTGAGTAAGCCTTCACAGTCAAATAATAATATAAAGCAATACATTTACGATTTAGCTATTATCGCAAATATAAGCAATATAAAATTATATGAAAAGATAATAATTATATACTGTATATACATAATAATCATTGCAACCCATTCAGGGGTTGCAACAAGCAAATATCCCTAAAAAAGTTCAGGAGAAAAGAATCTATCACTCAGTGTTAGGTTCACATGTCTAAGTGTCCATTGGTGTATATGCAAACAATATAATTAGTATAAAAATATGTATATTTATATTTTACAAAATGCATTTTTCACATCTGAATACTTCCACTGAATAATACATACCTAAGTAGTAGTACAGTATACAGCCTCTCCTTACTTAATGATGGAATTCTGTTCCTAAGAACACGTCGGTAAATGAATTTGTCGCTAAGTGAGGAGCGTACTATAATGGTAGTGGGTTTGTGTCAACCATCTTTGATATTGTTTTAATGTCACCTTTGCACCATTTATATACATTAATAACATGTATATCAGAGCTGATTTCTTCTATTCTGTTTATTGTAATAAACAGAATAGAGGAAATCAGCTCTAATATACATTATTTAGGTATGCATACTAGTCAGAGAGCCAGTCATAAGTCCAAGTCATCAGTTTACAAGTATGTCGCTAAGTGAGGAGAGGATGTATTATATATTAACCATTAATTAATACTACCAGTATGCTTGTTTTGCACTACCATGTTGCAGGAAAAGGCAGTTAAATTTATTAAGTGATATTCATTTTTAATACCTCCTATACTGAGAAACATCCTTATCATTATTTCATCTGCTTTACAGATCATATTGAAAATATTCATGTAAATAGGCAATACCATATTCGTAATTCATCATTTATTCCCTAGTAATGTAATATAAATATGCATTCTCTCCATCCTGTTCATTGTCATTATTCATTTGTTATTCACAGGCATAACATTTCAATCATCAGTATTCACTCACTACATACAACCCCCTATATATCATTGCTGTAAACCCTTCTCAATATTACAGGTCAATCTTTAGCACCTGTTCCATAACATTAAAACATATTTTACTGTAACTAATGCCACACATGCTTCACAGGCTGCACCTATCAGTTGACCTATCCACCAGTCACTTTTTTTTTTTCCTACTCTTCTCACACCAAAGTCAAAGATTTATTTCCATATGATACAATGTTTGTACAGATTGTGCATGCAGAAAGCCCATGATTATGCAGAGCATTTTGAGCATTTTCAGGCCACAACTTTACAGAAGGAATAAATATCCTTCTTACTGCATCTCTTCCTATAGTATTGGAGATCATCTTATGATTACTCTCTCTCTCATCCCCAGCAAGAGAAATATAGTTTTAGTTTTTTTTATCAGCTTTATATTCTGCACACTTTTTAAGGGCATTGCCTTAATGCGAGTGTATGGCTCATAATCCAAGGAATTGGAGCTATTCTCCCTTTCATTGAACTGAATCAGATTGCTTCCCATTTCCCAGGCTCTATACAGCCTCTATGGATTTAGCTCTAGCTCTTTCATGTGAATGAAATCAAATTAAAATACTTTACACCAAAACTAACATAGCAACCTGAACCAATATTACTATAATTGATGTACAGTAATTTAATTTGCCTAGCTTATCAAAGAATCTGCATAACTACAGTTCACCTTTTCACAATTTTCCTTGGGAGTGGGAGTAACAAATCTTGAAATGATCTGTATTTTGACTTACCCAGGGCTTTCTCTGAGCCAGCCACTGTCATTCTCTGACACAACATTATTTCAGATTACATATACTATTCATCTCTTTCTTTTTTTGTCAGTCACATTTAAAGTATTATTTCAATACATACAGTTTTTATTTGCTGTTCCTAATTTTAGCCTGATTTAAAAAATACTGTGGTCATGATTTTTCCTGAAAATAAGATCACCTAAATGTATAATATTCTCATAATTGAGATAAATAAGTTTCAAAGTATCATTTGATGGTCAAGTGTCTTAATACAAGAGAGTCAGATATGAGACAGAACAAATGTCTATAGTGCTTTCTGTGAAGTTTATATGTGAGATGCCAGGCTTGTCTCAGTTAGGCACATCCCCATCCAATTTTGACTCCACTCTTTGAAGCAAGGATGTTAACCTCCTCCTGTGTGGCCACACAGTTGGACATGACACGGAGAGTCTTTATGGAGACACCATTAGCAGTATTTAGTAGGTGCTTCATGCCTGTGAGAGTTACATCAGATGCTTGAAGAATGACTGAATTGTATTGTTTGTGTAGCCTCTTCAGAACCTCCCCAGCCCAAACAGCACTTGAATCTGTTATGCCAGCTAGCTTGACTACCAGGTGGTGGTTGAAGTGTAATTGAGGTATTTCCAAAGTTTTAGTAGTGGTGCTGATATCAAGAAATAGCTCTAAATATTTTAGTGTCCATTTTCTGGATGGCATGATTTTTACTTTCCATCGCCTGTGTTTCCTGATGCTGGTATGAAGATTAAACAAGGCTTTAAGGGAAGTAATCCTGATAAATAGTGACTGAACTCTAGTAGCTTTAACAAGTTCTGATGTGAATAGTTCGCTTGCAAAGCCTTTAAATTCCAGCAATCGATTGAGCTTGAGCAATGGCACTACATGAGTGTCAATGTCTTCTTGGTTACCTGCAGTATGGAACTGACTGTCAAGGTATAACCTAACTTTACTCTTCCCTATCTCTCCTATTAACATAATAATATTTTGTAGTTCAGAGCACTGGATGAAGCTGGTAGTGTACTGTATGTGAATGACAACCTCACTGGGTGCGGCACCTGTTTCTTGTAATAATTTAAGTTTAGCTTCGATCATTTCTTGAGCATCCCAAGAATTTATAACCCACAGTTTAACTTGGTTAATGAATGAACCCACAATCTGACACACTGCAGGATCTTTCTCGGCCTCCTCCAGGAGTCGCCACCAGATAACGGGGTCGCAGGCTAAGGCTCCCATACAGCTAATTAGGGAACATTTTATCTCGCTGGCTAAAGATGAAGTCATCTTACCATTAATTTTCAAGAGACCAGTAACATACATAATCAGTTCCTGGAGTCTTGAGCACTTGATGTCCTCAAATAGAGGGGAGAGAGACCAAGACTTAGATGCTTCTTCACTAATATACAGCGCTGCTAAAAACTCCTGTCCAGAGCTATGGTGAAAAGAAAAATAATATGAGGTGCCAGTCAAGGTTTCTTTTAAATCACATTTTAAAAAAGTTGACATAGTTTGTATGGGATTAATACCTTCCTTCTCGCATATGTCCATAAGGAAGTTCGCATGATCTTGGCTCAAGTGAAGAACCTCTTCTTTCAGCATGCACCATGCGATGTGACCCAGCTCAAGCAACCATCGTCGCACCTTACGACTGAGAGAGACACTATGCCCCTCCCCAAGGCTTTCCAATCGAGTAGTTAATTTCTTTTGAGACATGTCATAAATATTTTGGTAAAGGCGTGTTGTGGTACTGACAGTAGTTACTTTTAGTGAATCATCACACCACAAAACAAGTAAAAGTGTCAGCGTCAGAGGCAGTGTTAAGTGGTTGCTGAGAGACTCGCAAGCACTGGCTTTGTATACAAAGAAGTCTCTGATCTCATTCTCTCGACGTTTTATGTCCATGTACTTAACAGCAAAGACTTTCTTCACAAATTCATTTTGGCTATCATCATCAAAACCCTCAACTTGCAAAACAATGTGATCTTCTGCCATTTGCATTAGTTCCAAAGTAAATTCAGGCCTGGTGGTTATAATAATGTGGCTGTCTGTAAACTTACTCACAATTTCTCTCACTATAGCTTTTCCTTGGTTGCTTGCTTCATCCATGCCATCTATGACAAAGAGAACATTCATCTCTTGTAAGACAGGAATAATGTCCGACTCGCTAAACAATCGTGATGTATTCTTAAGAAGTTGTTCCCTCAGGAACTGCACGAGTGATCCACAACTTACTGTTCGCATCTCTATACCAATAACAATATCAATAGCTATCAGGCCAGTGACAGCAGAAGACCTCTTGCACCACTCATTCAACAAGTAGCGATAGAGGGAGGTCTTGCCTGCTCCCATAACACCCTTGATAATCACTACCCGAGGAATATACCTTGTCTTCATTTGTGTCACATTTAGAATGTCACTCACCTGAACATTTATTCCATTATCAACTATTCTCAGTGCAGTAAAAACATTGTCAACAGTAAAGTCTGCAAAATTGTTTTCGCTGAGCCACGAACAAGGATTAAGTATCTTGACTTTAGAATAAGTTGCCATTAATTCTTTCCTTCCTTCAGTTATCATTTTAGAATGTTTTTCCTGTCGAAAAAATTCCAAATCTTGTAGATAAGATTGTATATCATTAATTTCCAGTTTTGCATTCACAAGATCTTGCAAGCCTTGTTTTACTTCTGTTATTAAGTCTTTGAGATCTTTTCCAATTAGAGCTGCTGTGCCCTCAATGATCGCTCGACAGACACACTCAAGATCATCCATGCGTTGCCGTAGTTCTGCCTCATTCATTTCCAGATCTTCGTGACATACAGTATTCCTAAGATTCTTTAAATCTCTCAGTTCTTTTTTTATTGGCTCTGCTAGATTACCCAATATCCTTGTGATAATTTTGAAAATAAGTGTAACATCGCATATAAACTCACTATCAAATGGGGCCTTGGACAAGATATCTCTCTCAGAGGCTGTAAAATGCTTATTGATATCACTGTGAGACCATTTAAGTTTCTTGGTGCAGTACTCCTTCAAGGGCAGAGTTCCACAATTTGTGTCGAGGGTTTGGTAAATCATTGTAAAGATTGAGATTAGAACCATCTTTCCAATCTTATTAACTGCCTTAAAGTACTTTCCAAAGCAGAGGTCATGACTGGTGTAATTACCTGGTATCTGGGTAATGGAGGCAACTACAGAAGCCTTCATAGCTAAAAATAATTCTTATAAAAACATCACCATACCAATTATATAAAACTCGGCTATAATCAACTTTACACTTGATGCAAGTGTGTGATAGTTGCATCATCTGAATAATTTGCTGAAATGCAATACAATACAATTAACTGCAGTAAAATATGGTAACCATAAAACTACTTAGATAAACTTTCGTTTTTCAGTGTCCTGCAAACTGTTAGACACAGTCATGCCTCTATAAAGATTTATGAAAAATAATACTTACTAACCTAGAGTCACTATTAATCACAGCACCATACACTAGTAGCAATTAACACATTTCACATGACCAAGCTTCTGCTTCTGATGGGTCCAGAATGCTGCACACTACAGTGATGAGATCAGGGGACTGTAGGTATCAGAACCAGATAAATGTAGTTGATTAGACCAGAACATCATGCATAACTGGACTGGAGCACCATAGTTGTTGAGACCAGAGTGCTATGCATAACTAGACAAGGTCGTAGTTGAAAACAAGGCACAGTGATGAGGACAGGTCACCTCAGGTAATGATGGCTAGACCTGCAAATAGTACACAGTGAAATTAGCCATATGGTATAGTTATTTATGGGGGTATTAAAACATTACAGCTTCTTAAAACTACATACTTGTATGAAAGACTGATTCTTTACCTCTGTACAGTGTATCTACATATTTTTGAAACTGTGCCAATTTTTTTTTTTTATTAACACATCAGCCGATTCCCACCAAGGCAGGGTGACCCGAAAAAGAAAAACTTTCATCATCATTCACTCCATCACTGTCTTGCTTTACACTACAGTTTATAAAACTGCAACATTAACACCCCTCCTTCAGAGTGCAGACAATGTACTTCCCATCTCCAGGACTCAAGTCCAGCCTGCCTGTTTCTCTGAATCCCTTCATAAATGTTACTTTGCTCACACTCCAACAGCACGTCAAGTATTAAAAACCATTTGTCTCCATTCACTCCTATCAAATACACTCACACATGCTTGCTGGAAGTTCAAGCCCCTCGCACACAAAAACCTCCTTTACCCCCTCCCTCCAACCTTTCCTAGGCCGAGCTCCTACCCCGCTTTCCCTCCACTACAGATTGATACACTCTCGAAGTCATTCTGTTTTGTTTCATTCTCTCTACATGTCCGAACCACCTCAACAACCCTTCCTCAGCCCTCTGGACAACAGTGTTGGCAATCCCGCACCTCCTCCTAGCTTCCAAACTACGAATTCTCTGCAATATATTCACACCACAAATTGCCCTCAGACATGACATCTCCACTGCCTCCAGCCTTCTCCTCGCTGCAACATTCATTACCCATGCTTCACACCAATATAAGAGCATTGGTAAAACTATACTCTCATACATTCCCCTCTTTGCTTCCAAGGACGAAGTGCAACGCTCACCCTTTTCCCCTCATCAGTTCTATGATTCAGTTCATCTTTCATAGACCCATCCGCTGACACTTCCACTCCCAAATATCTGAATACATTCACCTTCTCCATACTCTCCCTGCAATCTGATATCCAATCTTTCATCACCTAATCTTTTTGTTATATTCATAACTTTACTCTTTCCTATACTATTCACTTTTAATTTTCTTCTTTTACATACCCTACCAAATTCATTCACCAACCTCTGCAACTTCTCTTCAGAATCTCCCAAGAGCACAGTGTCATCAGCAAAAACCAACTGTGACAACTCCCACTTTATGTTTGATTCTTAATCTTTTAACACCATGCCTCTTGCCAAAACCCTCGCATTCACTTCTCTTACAACCCCATCTATAAATATATTGAACAACCACGGTGACATCACACATCCCTGTCTAAGGCCTACTTTTACTGGGAAATAATCTCCCTCTTTCCTACATACTCTAACTTGAGTCTCACTATCCTCGTAAAAGCTCTTCACTGCTTTCAGTAACCTAGCTCCTATACCATACACCTGCAACATCTGCCACATTGCCCCCCTATCCACCCTATCATATGCCTTTTCCAAATCCATAAATGCCACAAAAACCTCTTTAGCCTTATCTAAATACTGTTCACTTATATGTTTCACTGTAAACGCTTGGTCTACACACCCCCCTACCCTTCCTAAAGACTCCTTGTTCATCTGCTACCCTACTCTCCGTCTTCCTCTTAATTCTTTCAATAATAACTCTACCATACACTTTACCAGGTATACTCAACAGACTTATCTCCCTATAATTTTTGCACTCTCTTTTGTCCCCTTTGCCTTTATACAAAGGAACTATGCATGCTCTCTGCCAATCCCTAGGTACCTTACCCTCTTCCATACATTTAATAATAATAATAATAATAATAATAATAATAATAATATCTTTATTTACTACAAGTACATGTACATGGTATACAGGCCTAGATGACATCAATGACATACTACTAAATAGTAAGCCCCTTGTTATGCTCAGCATTTCGGGCAAATTAGGTCAGTGTCCCTGGATGCGACCCACACCAGTCGACTAACACCCAGGTACCCATTTTACTGATGAGGAACATAGACAACAGGTGTAAGGAAACATGCCCAATGTTTCTACTCTGGCTGGGAATCGAACCCAGGCCCTTGTCGTGTGAAGCGAGAGCTTCAGCCACCAACCACTCCAAAACTATATCCCCACCTGCTTTTAACATTTCTATCCTTATCCCATCAATCCCAGCTGCCTTTTTCCCTTTCATTCTACCCACTGCCTCACGAACTTCCCCCACACTCACAACTGGCTCTTCCTCACTCCTACAAGATGCTATTTCTCCTTGCCCTATACACGAAACCACAGCTTCTCTATCTTCATCAACATTTAACAATTCCTCAAAATATTCCCTCCATCTTCCCGATACCTCTAACTCTCCATTTAATAACTCTCCTCTCCTGTTTTTAACTGACAAATCCATTTGTTCCCTAGGCTTCCTCAAGTTGTTAATCTCACTCCTTAACTTTTTCTTATTTTGAACAAAATTTGTTGATAACATTTCACCCACTCTCCCATTTGTTCTCTTTTTACATTGCTTCACCACTCTCTTAACCTCTCTTTTTTTCTCCATATAATCTTCCCTCCTTGCATCACTTCTCCTTTGTAAAAACATCTCATATGCTAACTTTTTCTCCCTTACTACTCTCTTTACATTATCATTCCACCAATCGCTCCTCTTCCCTCCTGCACCCACTTTCCTGTAACCACAAACTTCTGCTGAACACTAACACTACACTTTTAAACCTACCCCATACATCTTTGACCCCATTGCCTATACTCTCACTAGCCCATCTATCCTCCAATAGTTGTTTATATCTTGCCCTAACTGCCTCCTCTTTTAGTTTATAAACCTTCACCTCTCTCTTACCTGATGCTTCTATTTTCCTTGTATTCCATCTACCTTTTATTCTCACTGTAGCTACAACTAAAAAGTGATCTAATATATCTGTGCCCCCTCTGTAAACATGTACATCCTGAAGTCTACTCGACACTTTTATCTACCAATACAAAGTCCAATAATCTACAGTGGACCCTCGACTAACGCTATTAATCCGTTCCTGAGAGCTCATCATTAGTCAAAATAATCGTTAGTCAAGTTAATTTTCCCCATAAGAAATAATGGAAATCAAATTAATCCGTGCAAGACACTCAAAAGTATTGAAAAAAAAAATTTTAACACATGAAATATTAATTTTAATACACACAAACTGAAGAAGACATGCACAGTTACATGACACTTACCTTTATTGAAGATCTGGTGATGATTGATGGGATGGGAAGAGGGGAGTGTGTTGATGGTCTTAGTGTTTAGAAGGGGAATCCCCTTCCATTAGGACTTGAGGTGGAAAGTCCTTTTTCGGGGTTACTTCCCTTCTTTTAATGCCACTAGGACCAGCTTGAGAGTCATTGGACCTCTGTCGCACAACATATCTGCCCATAGAGGCCTGTACCTCCCGTTCCTTTATGACATTCCTAACGTGTTTCACAACATTGTCAGTGTCACCATTAAACACTTGTTCAGGTTTCAGTCCTTCACTGTCTATGTACTCCTTGAATTCCTGCACATATTTTTCAGCTGCTTTTTGGTCCAAACTGGCAGCCTCACCATGCCTTATTACACTATGTATGCCACTACGATTCTTAAATCTCTCAAACCAACCTTTGCTGGCCTTAAATTCACTCACATCACCACTAGTTGCTGGCATTTTTCTAATTAAATCGTCATGCAACTTCCTAGCCTTTTCACATATGATCGCTTGAGAGATGCTATCTCCTGCTATCTGTTTTTCGTTTATCCATACCAATAACAGTCTCTCAACATCTTCTATCACTTGCGATCTCAGTTTCGAAACATAGTTGCACCTTTGGCAAGAACAGCTTCCTTGATTGCCGTTTTCTTGGCCACAATAGTAGCGATGGTTGATTGGGGTTTTGTGTACAACCTGGCCAGCTCGGAGACATGGACTCCACTTTCATACTTAGCAATGATCTCTTTCTTCATATCCATAGTAATTCTCACCCTTTTTGCTGTAGGGTTGGCACTAGAAGCTTTCTTGGGGCCCATGGTGACTTATTTTGCAGGTGCAATCACTAAAAAGGCTGTGATAATATGAAATGTTCTGATTGTATGCTTGGAAGCGACCGCGGTGGCTGGCTGGCTAGTAAACACTGGCCAGAAGTGGACGCGTCTCAGATGGAAGGAATAGTGTTGGTCGAGTTTTTTACCGCTAATCGAGGCAAAATTTTTGCGATAAAATGTATCGCTAGTCAGATTTATCGTTAATCGATGCCATCGCTGGTCAAGGGTCCACTGTACTGTCATTACGCCCTACATCATATCCTGTATGTATTACCTATAACTAAACCCCTTTCTATACAAAGTTCAATCAAAGGGCTCCCATTATCATTTACACCTGGCACCCCAAACTTACCTACCACACCCTCTCTAAATGTTTCTCTGAAATGTACGTACATTAAATACTGAAAATCATTTTTTAGCTAAGGGTAAGCTGAACATCTGCCTTCTTTTTTTTGTCATCTGGGCCTTATTAACTATAAATCTGTTTTATTAGCTTATTTATTTTCAAATGGTATGCAACAGGTATTTTGTACACTAAGTGTCAATTTGATAGGCATTAACCTCATGTAGACGTTCTTGAGTTTATTGCTTACTGTGTCGCAGGTGTTATGATAATTGTCTGAAAATACTAAAGTAGTGTTGCCTGCAAATATTATTTTCTTCAATTTTTTTTTTTGTGGGGGGGGGGGAGGTTTGGATATGGGAAACTGCACTTTCATCACTATGTTTTAGTTGCACACAACTGCAAGTGGGCCCTTCATGGAGGGATGTTTACCACCTTTATAATGTATATATCCCATATGACTCCTATGGGTTATATGGGGTATTTTGGAAGAATTTAAGATAAGATAAGATAACCTGGAGTTTACCTGGAGAGAGTTTCGGGGGTCAACGCCCCCGCGGCCCGGTCTGTGACCAGGCCTCCTGGTGGATCAGCGCCTGATAAGATTTCGTTCGGATTTTTAACC